ATGAGCATAAAATATGTATAAAAAAAAAATTATCATTAGATGTTTTGTCTCTAGAGGTATGTAGATAGAACTGCTAGATAGTTGTCTGTACTTGGCTCAAATCCTCCAAAGCTTTGGCCTTCTCAACATTCATCGTGCTATGTCAGCTAATCTTATCGTCCAAACTTAATTATATATGTACAATGATATCTCTCTGTTGACTGAAGAATAAAGGTTCGATGACGATGGAAGATTTTAATTATTTTTGGGATTATTGCTACATACGAATACTAACTAAATACGAAAACCTTAATAAACTAAAAGAACAAAAAAAAAAAACTGCAAGGGTTATAAAAATATTGATTGTGTCATTGTGTGAGTGACCATATTAATTAGATGTACATATTAGTGTACAACTGATTGTTACACGTAACCTATTTGTACCATCTGGCTCGTGGCATGAACAATAATAATTGTTGTGTGTGGTTGACTCACGATCCGTTCGTCTGATCTCGTCGGGAGGAGGTGATAAGGCCCTGTATGGGACTTTGGTGTCAAATTTGCACAGTGATGGATTGAATTGATTCAATCCCTCAATTCCAAACGAACAGGGGTGAAATTGATAGATGTGGATGGTCGATTTCTTGCAGTTCTTCACGCGGAGAAAGGCTCGAAATAGATGGCTGATGCTTGGCCACGATCAAGCGGGTGATTGATCGATACAAGCTCCTCGAGCAACCTAGAATCCCTCTAAGTCACTCTTCTCAAACTCACGAAGCACACAAGCTTGTGAACCAACTCGAGCTGAATTCAACTTTAACCAAAACTGACAATTCCAATGAATTGGAACTCTTAAATAGACCTACGCTACTAATCAAACTACTCTGGAAATCCTTAACACAATCAAACACGAAAAACTAGTTCAAAACAGAAAAGGTAAAAGATGGTAGTAGTAATCCTAGTCCGAGCCGGATTCAGATTACTCTGCAAGACAGTCTTCCAACCGAGCTCCCTGCGATCTTACCACTCTTCGTTGGAAGCCTTCCAAACTCCTTTCCAGTCATCCAATGCCACGTCGTTGCAGTAGAATATACATAATTTCGTGGGTAGCATCCTCAGAACTCGACTCACCTTTAAACTCTTCGAATTGGCCTCCAAAGGTTGGTACCCACGATGCCTTCCAGACTTGGTGAAAATGTGACCGTTTTCCAGTTTCAGCGGAGGGTTTTGAGAAGCTTGAAAATCAATCTTCCTGGCCTCTTCTCGATCTCCCAACCATTTCCTTTTATAGAGAAACTTCAAAACTTCACAACAAGCCTTCATTTACCCTTTTTCATCGAGCCAAATAAAAGTTGCATACGTGCAAAGAAGGGTACCTGAAACACTTGCAACACTTAGGCAAAATTCATGGTTCTTGTTAGTGGTGGAGGAGGAAGGGGATGAGGGCAAATTGGTAATTGTATAATTGGGGTCTAAATTTAAAAATATCTAAACAAACAAGCAAATTGGCCAAATAACTCATTTAAATTTCCTGATTTTTTAAACGAGGAATTTGGGTCCAAATCCCTTATAAATCTCTCGTATTAAAATCATCAATCCAAACGGCCCCAAATCTTATTTGTATTTGAGAAATTACATGGTCATGTCATTTTATCATTCTAATTCTTCCTGTAGTTATATAAATCTTAATATTTTACTAAATTTTAGTGAGATATTTATAAGTCATAATTTTCTTATTTGTATTGACATTATCTCATTCCAATATCTCTTAAAGGAAGCTTCTTGTTTCAGCATCCATCGATATTTGACCAAGTACGTCTATTTTGATTAATATTTTTTGGGTTTTGTAGTTGAATTTATATTATTATTATTATTATATATCTTTGCAATATATATTAATCTTATAAAATACCTCTTATTTATTATTGACCTTGAAGGTATATATAATCACCTACTTATTCCAAATACCTATTATTTTTCACAATTAAAGTCTTCGATTTCAAAAATGATATTCCATTCTTTAATCATGATTTAATGTGCGATAAAAAATTTCATCTTATTAACAGATAATGTTATTTAATAACGCCATTACTTTTATTTCAATTTCAATTTGTAGATGTTCTTATTGGTTGTTTTGGACAACTGATAACCTGCTCTTGATTGAACTTTTGATGAAAAAAATGTTGATTTACATAAAAAAATCACTTCATTATATTTTGAAAAAATAATTGAGGCATATATTACTAATCTATACCACGGTTGTATAGAAGTGTAACATGATATGAATATAAAATAGGGTAAAATGATTGTATACTTGATAGTAGGAATGTACTAAGCAGCATTTATCACCTTTCACCACCAGGTATCACCTTTTACCAAGGTGGTATATGGCTATATATTTGGTCCTAAAAAATTGCAAGAAATTTCTAGATCACAATAAATCACGATTGACTCGTTCCTTATGCAAATTCTTTTAAAGTTTGAGTTTAAATGAAGGCGGTACATAGTTGTACTAGGATAGTAACGAGTGATAATAGATGATACAAATAAAAATATAGTAATATATTGAAAATGGATATCATTATATAGATTACATGAACCTATATTTCATCTGTACAACTTAAAATCCGGGTGAAAAAAATATAAGCTTATTAAATTAAGTAGGAAAAATAAATATTTTTTTATTCTCATCTTTTAGATTTGCCCCACTCAAAAGTCGAAACTAAGAGTTGAGATCTAATATAACGCGCATATATATAATTAAAAGTTATACACCAAACCTTAATTAATCATAATTGTAATAAATCAAATTACCAATACTTTAGATCGCTATATTTCCATAATTGTCCAACATGGTGTCATATGTTTGACCACCCTCTCATGGTCTCACCCATTCGAAGTTGACTTTAAGGAAAAGACTGAGTAATATGCCTTTTATAAACAAACAAACAGTAACTACTATCTAGATGAGAAAAACTTAGGTGGGACGGAACACAAGTGGCGGATCAGGTGATTAAAGAAGGTGCTTAGTTACTTGATTAAGTCTCTCTCAATTTTTAGATTTGGACATACAAATTAAATCTCACGGTTAAAAAGTGGTAAGAATTTGTAAATTAATGATAGGGGTAGTTTGGGTATTATGAAAAATTACGAAGTATATAACCGGATTAACAAATAGTACAAACATTACAAACTAAAACGACAAAACATACAAACAGATTTACAAACAATACAAAACATACAAACTATACAAACAATACAAACTACACTGACTGTGGAGGCTCCATCCCTATATAGAGGGTTTCGTTCCAAAGTCAACCGGTTGTTTTTTTTTTTACATACAAATATTACAAACATGGTGGATATATAAATATGACAAACTAGACCAACAAACTATACAAAATGGAAAAATACCAGGTTGACTTTGGAGACTCCATTACTATATGGTGGAGTTTTGTCCAAAAGTCAACCAGATTATTTTTAGACATAAAAACACATTACAAACATGAGTGACAAAAATTACAAAGCTTACAAATATTAATAAACTAACAAACATTACAAAATAACAAAGCGTACAAACATTACAAAAAAATCGACAAATAGTACAAAGCATACTAACCGTACAGAATACCACTACTTACAATACAAATCAGTAAAATTGTATTACAAACCAATGAATACAAAGTATACAAATCATAACATAAAAGTATACAAACAAACGTTACGAATTACAATATGTAAATATATACAAAATAGTCATATAAGCATTACAAATAAAATAGACAAAAATGACAAACAAGAATAATAAACAATAGAAACCAAATTAATATAAAAATTACAACCTAAACTCATAAACATTACAACATAGGTCGGAAAACATTACGAATCCAACACTATCGCTGGTAAATCCTGCTCCGCCGTAAAGTCGACCTGAAATCTCTCTCTCAAACATAACCTTCATCATGGGAATTCGGAGGGGGAAATTCCCGATAAAAATGGACCGCACCTGTGGAGAATGGGACGCCTGATTCCTGGCCGGCAGGAAGAGATGGGGCATGGAACGGGATGCCAGGAAAATTCTGTGTCGGGGAAGAGTTTTAAAATTAATTAAAAATTAAAAAAAGACTATAATTACTACATTATCCTTCATTAACTTATTAGATTAATTGGAACCATTAGATATTCATAAGGTTGACGTGCTGAGATTCACTTAGTCATGTGACTAAGGAGACCCCTTTAGTCACCTGATCTTAGCCCACGGCCCACGAGAGCACCACCTAAGATTAGTGATGTGGTGCACTCACCCAATCTCATCCCGCCACATGCTTGCTAATTATTAGTCATCCAAAACTAAAACAAAAAAAAAATCCTATTTCCTTTATGGGTACGGTCCGGCCTTTGCGCTGACCCTGTTTGGCTTAATTAATTAAATAAACTCACCCTTATAAATATTAACAACTGAATGTTAAACTCTAAGAAATAATATTTCGACTGAAAAGGCATTCACCGTCATAATTAGTAAATATTCCGTTCAATTCGCATATATGTAGATGTACGTACTATAACCTTTAAAAAATTTCATATTCGTATTATTGTCGAGTTATTTCATTTTTCTCGTACATAAGAAATAAAGTAAAATACTCGTACGTACTAATTAAGGAAGGATCGTATTAAAACACTCTTCAGGTTTGTCGCGTTGCAAGGTTCAGACCACCAGGACTAACCGCTTGATTAGCCGCCCAACATGTAACTAATTAAGTAAGGATCGTATTATACTAAAGCAGCGAAAAATTCAAACATGTACGTCGTGCCTAGCTAGCTTAGCTGGCTACGATGCTTCCCCAGCTAATTCTTCCCCGTCAACGTCGGAGCTCTCTGCTTCATATATCGGCATTATATATACATGCATGGAAGCCTTCGTTCATAATTAAGCCAGCAAAATATTATCAACCAAAAGACAAAAAGTCCACGGTAGAAAAAGGGGGGAAAACAAGAGATCGAAGCAGCAAAATATATCCATAATGGCAGCAGCTGCTAATCATCGTCGTCAAAGCAGAAGAAGTACTTCTCCTGATATACGCACCATCGTTCCTTTGCTTCTGGTCGTCATCGTCTTGTTATCGTCGGCTGATGATAGTAAGATGGTGTTGGTGGCAGCAGCCAGACGAGTTCCCGCCGCCGCGCCGGGAAAGAGCACCGTTGCTGATAATAAGGAGGAGTACGAGGAGATAGTTGCGGTAAGCAAGCGGTCTGCTAGGGGAAGTTCATCAAGAAGCAGCGGACACGGCGGTCCTCGTCCATGGCACTAATATAATTCAAACTCATCATCGATCAGATTATCGGAAGTTGTTCATATTTCCCTCGATCCTTTCATGAACTGTTGTGCATTCTTCGTCCAAATCATGCAAACTCTCTTTGTTTATAATTATTCGTGGGGTAAATTGCAAGTTTGGTCACTAGAATTACTATAAAATTTCACGTTTGCCACTAAAATTAATTTATTTCATCTATAGTCACTCAAATTAGTCACACAATTTAAGATTGGTCACTGGCTGTTAGTCTCCGTTAACTTTTGCTGAGGTGGCAGTCAACTCTAATAGTTGACCGTTAAATAGGTGACGTGGCAATTAAAAAATAAAATAAAATTTAATCTATTAAAAATCTACCTCATTATCATAATAATTAAAAAATAAATAAAATATAAATTCATAATTATCAAAATGAAAATGAAAATGAAAGTTTTTTGGTGATGGTGTCCATGGCAGAAAAAATCTGAATCGCTAAATGTCGCCCTAAAAATTGCTAAACGTCGCCCTAACTTACAAATCAATTTACCTATATGCCCTTAATGAAAAATTAAAAAATAGACCAACCAAACGGCCCTTTCACCCTCCACCCTCCTTCCAGCGGGACTTCCTTCAACCCTCTCCCTCTGCAAAATCAACCCGCCGCCGGGGGTCCCCACCGCTGGAGAAGAAGCAGCCAGACGCCGCGCAAGCCTCGCCGCCGTCCCTCGCCGCCCGCGCCAGCATCGCCGCCGTCCAGCCTTGCCGGACCTCGTCACGTTGCCGCCCTCCCCCTCTGCCCCTCGTCGCGTTCCCGCCGCCGGTGCTCTGCCTCCCCTCGTCGCGTTCCCGCCGACGCGCAGACGAGAAGAAGGTTGCGCCGCTCGCTCGTCGGAGAAGAAGAAGGTAAAAAAAAAATTCCGACCGCTGTCAAACCGCGATCTGACCGACGGTCAACCGCGGTCAACGCGCGATTGAACCGACGGCTGACCGCGGTCAAAGGGCGATTCACCGATGGTCAAACCGCACTTTGACCGCGGTCAACCGTCGGTTTGACCGCGGTTGACCCTTTTTTTTAATTCTGTTTTTTAATATTCTGTGTTTAAATAAATGTTAATAATAATACAAAAAATTAAAAAATATACTTAATAAAAATAATTTAGTTATAATTATATTTAATGATAACGTATTCGATAAATGTTAATTTAGTTATAATGTTAATTTAGTTATATGATATAAAAATTTAAAAAACGGTTTCGATAAATGTTAATTAATGATAACAAATTTAAAGAACATAATAAAAAATTAAAAATATATATTTATCATTTTAATAATCAAAATTTCAAAGTAATTCGTTTATCTAATTAATTATTAATAATTTTACCTTGATTAATTATTTACTTTTATGTAAATAATGATTACATAGAACGTAACATAAATGTTCAAACTATTAATTTTATAATTTTAATTATGGAAATCTTTAATTAATTACTTTATGTACTCTATTATTAATAATCCATTATTAATAATTCAAACTTTTTTTTTTAAGATGTTTGGACATGGAATGGGTAAACCGGATATGATTAAGGCGAGAAATAAGGAGAGAATGGAAGGTCGTGCTTGTAGACTTACGACGACTGGTTGGACCATGGGTGGACCGCAAATGGCCTGCGGTTGGACCATGGCTGGACCGCAGGTGATTTGCGGTCCAGCCATGGTCCATCCGCAGGTCACTTGCGGTTGGGCATTTTTTGGGTTTTTTTTTCGTTTTTCAGTTAATGTATTTACCTCGTCGGAGTCGCTACTCATGATTCAGACGTCCTACCGACGATATCGGCTTCAAAATGACGATGATGGATTTTTCTCTCCTTAGATAGTGTTTTTTTAGTCCAAGTGGTGTTTGTTTGATAAAGGAAAGGTGAAGAAGATAGGGGGTTATAGGAAAAAATCCCAAAATAGACACGTTATTAAAAAATATTTCCAAAATACATACGTTATAAAAAAAATTCTCAATCTACACATGTTTGGACTTCACCGCGGCTGTCAACCGCAGTGAATAACATCACCGTGGCCGTCAAAAGCGATGAACGCTTCACCGTCACGATTGGAAACGGTGAATACTTACTCGCCATTCACCGTGGGTGTTCCACGCGGTAATGGCCTAACCCAAATTAATAAGCTAACAGCGGTCGTAATAATCATCAACCTTTTCTGAACAACCAATTTAACTTGATGATGGCGGATGCAACTTAACTGGATTGTTAATTTTATATATATATATATATATATATTTATATGATGATGCTAGCAAGTAATTTTAGATAATTAGCCCTGATCAGCTCTGCATGCAATTTCTTTCTTCGCAATCCTCCGCCGTAAGCACCTTCATCAGTGGCAGTCGGCAGGAGGAGTTCGCTCTCCGATGCCCATCTCGGGTGAGCACCACCGCCACCAGCAGCAATTACAACACAACGACGACGAGAGGCAACGTGAGATGTCCGGCCTACTTCCGGTGGATCCACACGGTCAAGCCTTTCGCTTACAGCACTACAGCTGGGCCTACAGCTGCCCCTTCGCCCTCAGCTGATGATTATTACGGCGGCTATTATTAGCTTATTAATTTGGGTTAGGCTATCACCGCGTGGAACATCCGCGGTGAATGGCGAACAATTATTCACCGCTTTCGATCGTGGGGGTGAAGCGTTCATCGCTTTTGACGGCCGCGGTGATGTTATTCACTGCGGTTGACAGCCGCGGTGAAGCCCAAACATGTGTAGATTGGGAATTTTTTTTATAACGTATGTATTTTGGGAATATTTTTTAATAACGTGTGTATTTTGAAATTTTTTCCGGGGGTTATAAGTGTAACTTTAAACTTTTTTAGGGCGACCTTTAGCAACTCCCAAAAAGATTTTGATTTTTATAGGAAATAGTGGCTTACTCTGCCTCTCCCCTGAATTCCCTCCCCGAAGACATCCTAATCGACATCCTCACCCGATCACCCGTAAAATTCATTCTCCGATTCAAATCCGTCTCCAAACGATGGTCAGCTCTCCTCACAACACCTCAATTCATCGCCGCCCACCTCCGCCGCTCTGCCTCCGACAACCCCCCTGCTCATCATCCGCCACGGCCAAACCACCGGTGACCTCCTAATCTCCGTCCTCGACTCAAACCTTGCAACCCTCCACCGCGATCTGACGGTGCCCGTCTCGAGATACGATGACTTTCTCCGCCTCGATCGTCGGTTCCTGCAACGGCTTGCTCTGTCTCGAGTACAGAACCACAAGAGCAGCGCTCTGGAAACCTGCCACCAAGCAGTTCGCCTGGGTGCCCGACCTGGACCTTCGATCTCGGGTTCTGGTTCAATAGCGAGAATGAAGATTACAGGTGGGTGAAATTCGCCTGATTTTACTACAGGGACTGGAGGAGGGAAGATGAAGCGATATGGGAAAGTTTGGAAGTGAAGGCGGCGGTGTTCTCGTGGAAGATTTGGTCGTGGATGGAATTGATAGGTGCCCGGATTGCTTTTCCGGCATTTTGAAAATTTTCATTTCCATTTCCATTTTAATAATTATATTTTTTTATTTTTTAATTATTATGATAATAAGGTGGAATTTTTAATAGATTAAAATTTATTTTTTATTTGCCACGTCACCTATTTTAACGGTCAACTATGAGAGTTGACTGCCACCTCAGCAAAAGTTAACGGAGACTAACGGCCAGTGACCAAACTTGAATTGTGTGACTAATTTGAGTGACTATAGATAGAATAAATTAATCTTAGTGGCAAACGTGAAATTATAGTAATTCTAGTGACCAAACTTGCAATTTACCCATTATTCGCATATTTCAAAAGTTGTGTCCATAAAGTGTATTTTGTTTTTAAATTATCATATGCAATGATTGGATCAAATCGATCAACCTTCAACTTTTATTTCTCTATTTGATGAATGTATAAGTCAACCAAGTTATGAACTGAATATAATATCCAATCGACGCTAAATTTGTCTCTCAATCTTGCTAACCAAAACCAAACCAATACCTACAAAATGTAGTTGTAATTAACCAAATTATATGTGGTTTAAATAGGGGTGGACAATGGGTGAGTTGGGTGGTCTCAAATTGACCCACCCGCTTATTAACGAGTTGATACAATTTTGACTTGCTATGACTCACATTCTTCTTCAAATTGGGTTGGATGGGTGGTGGCTGAATGAGATTGAGTTGTGGGTTAACCTACAAAGCAGTTCTTCGACTATCCATCATGCATGTTCACTAATATTTATCAGAAATTCCTCACAAATTAAGAAGACACTAGCGATTTAGATACTTCTCATTTTGTATCCCGTGGATCCGTATAATACTTGTGACGTGTTAATTTTTTTATTATCACTCATATCAATTTTTCGAATGACCACTTTCAATGAAATATTCGATGACATAGAAAACAAAGTCACTGACCACATATTCTTAGGAACAAAAGGCTCATTACATGTGCATATTTCAATTGTTTCGCAGAGTTATCAAAGTTTTCAATAATCCATAACGTAATTGAGTAAAGAAAATTAATGATCTTTATGAATTTGATACCATTAGTAGTTTATAACTTGCATCCAATATCAAATTGATATTACATAACGTAATAATCAATAGTAATAGCTCACAATATATCTTTTCTTTATTTACTACCATTAAAAGTCGATGGTAAGTGTGTGATGTGGATATGAAATATGATAGTTATTCGATAGTATAAACAAGAAACAATTCATTATTTTGTGAAAGTGAGATGTGAGTCATTTGTGTGACTCGCAAATCGTAACCCATCCATCACTCACACACTCGAATAAGTCAGTGCATAAATATTTTTATCGTTTAATTTACTTTGTAGTTAAATGGCTATGAGTTATGACTTATGAATTGGAGATAATTCGACTTGCTAAGGGGTCGTTTGGTTTTGGTGATTGTTTGGTTGGGATAGTTACAATGCATGCATTGTCCACAATTCATTAAATTTTTTTTGAATTTTCTGCACAAACAATACATACATTGTTTGCTTGATGTGATGGAAACTATCACTCAAAATGAGTGATAGTAATATCTCAAGTTTTTGTTGAGATTGTTGAGATTGTTGGAGTGTTTTCTTCTTACAACTATGTCTCTACCTTTTTTTTGTGTTTTGCTTTATTATATTAGGGTCAATACCTTATTTTGGCCCGAATTATGATCATACAATCAATTTTGGCCCGTGGTTTCATAAATTAACGTCCTGGCCTCAACTATGCAGCATATAAACTCAATTGGCCTGACACATAGTTTGACCGTTAGTCAACATGCCATGTCATTGCCTAGTTAGCCTAAAATTTGATAATTTTTGATTAATTTATAAAATTTATCATTTCAAATTACCAAAAAATAAAAAATAAAATTTATTTTATTTTTGGTTAATTTGATAATGATAAGTAAAAATTTGGAAAATAATTTGAATTAGAAAATTATTTTTCAATTTATGTTTTTTGCATTTTCTAAATTTATAAAATTTAATTTGATAATTTTTTCTTAATTTATTAAATTTATCACTTTCAAATGTTTCAAAATATAATACATAAATTTATTTTATATTTTTTAATTTGAGTTTTTGGTTAATTTGAAAATGATAAATAATGGAAATTAGGAAAATAATTTGAATTTTGTAGTGATTTTTAGGCTGGCGAGGCAATGACATGACGTGTTGACTAACAGTCAATAGTGTTGACCATCCAAATTGACAGTCAAATCATGTGTCGGGCCAATTGCGTCTATATTTTATATAGTTGAGGACAAGATTTTAAATTTCTGAAACCACGGGCCAAAGTTAATTATATGATCATCGTTCAGACCAAAATAAAGTATTAACCCTTTATATTAAAACAAAGGGTAAAAGTGACATTTAACACCGAAAGCAATATATCTTATTTAATTACTAGAATAACTATCATAGAAATCAAACGATGTAAATTACAATACATCAATTTTCTTATATGCATGTATATTATTATGCATGCATTGATAACAATACAACTATTTAACTATCAGCAAATCCAAACGACTCCTAAATTATCAAAAAAGATGGCTAAGGATAGGGCTCATAACCCATGGTTATACACCCTTTCATAACTAAATGAGCTGGATCTTTAAATTTAAGTGGGTTAAGAAAATTAAAGACTTTTTATTTTCCCTAATTTTCTTAATTGACTCTTATCCTCTTCGTTCTAACTTTGATTTAATTTTTTTGCACATATGAAACGAGTTTTATGAAAGTCGTAAATGACAGTAAGTATATTCTTATACTATCATGTATTCAATCATCCTACAGTCTTGTATGTTCATTCCACCATGGTACGCTTTCAATATCATATGATATGCTCTTATTTAATACCAATCAATACCACCATGGTATAGAGCGGTAATAAATGCCTCAATTTTTTTGTTCCAAAAAGATATAAAATTGGATATCATTTTGAAGAGCATAATTAATCTAATTTATCTGTGAAAAAAATTAAATTTCGACTCAAAATGAGAGAGAAATCGTCCTTAAAAATTAAAAGGGAAAATGTTAGAGGCCTTTCATATGTGGCATGGCAGGGGATGCTGATGTTGAGGATGGTGGTTGAGTTATGCATGATTATTTAACCAGTAGGTTACTGACCAATCTGGTCCCAAAAAAGATGATAATAGTAGTTTCCTGATTTCATTTTTCTGTTTGCAGCAAGCCTATTGGTCCGGCTTGACCCCATTTTACCCAACCCAAGTTGGTCAAAGACAAAAGTATGGTTGTCACGCCGGTAAAATGCCAATTGGTTGAATCTGGTTTAACCGACATCAATCATGAAATCAGTGAATATTGCGTGTATGGCCAACATAATCAATTTTTGGTCTATAAACAAAATGTTGTAATTCAAGTACAAAAAATGATATTATTTTTTGAATTCAAGTACAAAAGTTTGGATTTTGACATTAAATATTGTATTTAAATATGAGTATTTGTTATTTTGTTTGAAATATTGTTTTTATTTAAATATTAATATATATTGTAAGTAAATTGTCTTTAAATATGTTATATGTTTTTAAATTCATCGAATGATAATAATTTATATATATTTAAATATTTTATTAAATCGGTATAAGCCAACACAAACCGATACAAATGAATTGTATCACCGGTCAAACCATATCACTTTCTAAAGTGGCCATAAACCGGTTTGAGAACGTTGGACGAAAGCGGATCAGGGCAAGACGATCAAAAAGCTCATCCACCAACGGCAAACTGAAAGAACCTCCGCGGGTTAGCCATCATCGGCAGTCCTTCAACCAACTCCCTAGTTCCAATTGTTTGTCGCCATGGGGACGGCGACGGCGACTCTCCACCTTTCTCGCGTACGCATTGGGCGCCCTCATCCCCCTTTCTTCTCTTCTCTAATCCATTCTCCTGCTGCTATTCTCCTTCCTAGTTCTCCCTCTTTCTCCCGCAAATACCCTCGCCTCTGCTTCCGCCTTGGCCACACCGCCAGCAGCTTCTTCCGCCGCTTCTCCGTTTCTGCTTCTTCCTCTTCTTCTCCTGGTATGCCAGTTCAAAACTTCTGTCTCTCTTCTCTCTGCAAGTTTCACTACTTCCCGCCTGTCTTTGGCCTTGCCGGGTGGATTGAGTCATTTGCTGCTATGTACTGTCAATTTAGTTTATAAGATAACGGATTTTGTCATTCGGTTTCTGTTTATATGCCATCTTTGTCTATGAAGATGGTGCTTTTCCGAATGCTGATTGGATGTGGTAACCGGAGGCAGCTGATAAACTGTCAAACTAGAAATTGAGAATGGAAAAATAGAGTTCAGTGGATCAGTCACTTGGGGCGTGTGACTGCTGTTGGTGTAATGATGGAATATTTACTTGATTGAGGATTGCGAACAGCTTGTGTGACTTTTGAGGTTCAACATTTTGCAGGGTCGAGTAACTTCGCAGGAGATAATGGCGAAACATATGATGTAATTGTGGTTGGAGGAGGACATGCAGGCTGTGAGGCAGCTCTTGCTTCTGCTAGACTAGGGGCTAGAACCCTCCTGCTCACTTTAAACTTAGATCGGATAGCATGGCAGGTAACCACTTACATAGAGATCTTCTGATACTGAACTATTTGGCAAATACATTTGGACAAAATGTTCTTATCATGAGTGGTTTTCTGCAGCCTTGCAATCCAGCAGTGGGTGGACCTGCGAAGTCACAGCTGGTTCACGAAGTGGATGCACTTGGCGGTGAAATCGGTAAAATTGCTGATAGGTAATATTGCCAATTGAACTAAATATTTGTCTTGACCTGAAGGAATTGTGGCTCCCTTCCTCTTTCAGTTTTTGTGACTTCAAAATGGGAACTTGAGGTGTTGATAAATGTGGGCTAGGTTACATGATGCGAATCAAATCTATCAAGCCAAATTACCTATTTATAGCCTGTGTGCATATATTCCTCTTTAGTTCTTTGAAACCAATAAAGCATACTTGTTCAAGTTATTTGATAGCATAATTCTCCAGACTTCTAGGTTCTGTTTTTCTTTGCAATTATTGACACGTTCTTATTGGTTTTGGTTGCTTATCGACTTTTGTTTATATGCCTGTAATTCTTTTGAGTTCTTCAGGTGCTATTTACAGAAGCGCATACTCAATCTTTCGAGGGGTCCTGCTGTTCGTGCTTTGCGTGCACAAACTGACAAAAGAGAGTATGCTATGCTAATGAAGCAAATAGTAGAAAGGCAAGTGAAAATATTTGTCTTCCTTGGTTAATGTTCACTCCCCTATTCAACTTTTTTCAGAGGGTAGCTTGAGGTTGGGGACGATAAAGGATGTCATGTAATAAAATAGTTTTTGTCAAGTCACAAAATAAATGTGCAATATATTAGATTTTATGGAAAAAAAATAAAAGGCTACGGGTAACTCTCCGTTTGTAGTATGACTAGAAAGAGATGCTAAATTTTTTTATACCTTAATTCTGCTGCATTGTATATCAGTGCTCCATGTACTTTTTTAGTTGTTTTATAGGATAGTCTAATTGGAACTCTTGTTATCATATGCCAGCCGTATCTTGGTATCAAATTATGATTATCAGCATATATGTTCTTGCAACTTGCCTATATATTCTTTTCTTCCTTTTCTGGATTTATGATCGGTGTGTTCCCAACGAATGTTAGGCTTTCTTCTTATTGCCTGTCATTCAAAACGATACAAAATTCGGAATTGATAGTAGCATCTGGAACTACTTAAATGCCCATCTGGAACTACTCTCACCCAGTTTTAGAATGGTTTATGTTTGTCTTCTAAGAACATTACATTGTTCTGTTTCAGGACTCCAAACCTTTCCATTAGGGAGGCAATGGTAACAGATATCTTACTGGGAAAGAATGACAATGTGGAAGGTGTCCGCACCTTTTTCGGGATGAATTTCTATGCTGCTTCAGTTGTTCTTACAACTGGAACTTTCATGAGTGGGAAAATCTGGGTTGGCAGAACATCTATGCCTGCTGGAAGAGCTGGTGAGTCAGCTTCAGAAGGACTCACTGAGACCTTACAACGCCTTGGATTTGAAACGGAACGTTTGAAAACTGGAACCCCAGCACGAGTAGACATACGGACCGTTGACTTTTCTGGATTGGAACCTCAGCGTGGTGATGAGGAGGTACTTTGGTTTGATCATGAAGCCCATCTAGTCAATTTGACACTGCAAACTGCTATTTCTAATAGGCAACTTGACGTTTTCTTATACCAATTTTACAACTTGGGGTTGATATCTCCCACTAGCTGAATTTGGAAACCATGCTTGCTGAATATTAACAGTTGATGGTAGAAAGTTCAGAGGAACCTGTCAACTATGTTGCGAAATGAGATTCATAGGGCGGTAGGAAGTCGAATTTTAAAATAATTGATAAAGTGGTCCTAGTAGAGCCACTACTTTCTGTGCTTCTGCTTGGTTTGGTTTAACAATATGTGTCTCATTCTGAGATGGCGATTAACAGTCAATGAATCTTAGCTGGTTATTGTCATCTTTGCTATGCTTCTATGTGCTTGATGAAATAGAATGATACTAGAGATCTTGTATTTCATTGTTATCTTTTGATTGACAGGTCAGCTGGTTCAGTTTTGATCCTGAAGTGCATGTTGAGAGGGAACAGATGTGTTGCTATCTAACACGTACAACAAAATTCACCCATCAACTTATTAAAGATAACTTGCATGAAACTCCGACTTATGGAGGGTGGGTTGAAGCAAAGGGGCCTAGATATTGTCCTTCTATTGAAGATAAGGTGTGTACCATTCCCAGAGTTCTATTCCTCTTTGCTTCCTTTGTCATTCTATATTTGAAAGTTCCTTCTACTACGAACTTCACCTGTCTCTCTTGCAGATCGTGAGGTTTCAAGACAAAGAGTCCCATCAGATTTTCCTTGAACCAGAGGGTCGAGATGTGCCTGAGTTGTACGTACAGGTTCATGATTAGCTCCTTTGTTCTTTTTTCCCCTGCTCTTATGTTGATGAAAGGTGACGATCTTGTCATTTTTTGCGGAAACAGTAATTTGGCATTTAGAAAATGGAGTTGCATCCTTATATGAATTTGCTAGTTGTTTTTATATTAGGTTTCGAGGTAATATATCCATGAAGTTGTATACCATTTGTGTTCTACAAAATGATCTTAAGTTCTTAACTTTCTAAAAGACTTCTCCCAGCCTTACATTAATTTTTTTGGGTCTCTCTCTACTGCCATTTCCCCATAAATCTCTCATACAAGTAATATGAATAAAATCCTTAGGTTTACGTATTTTGTTGCTTTTTCTAGTAAAATGTTTGCTGAATATATTCATAGGAAACTACAAATGGATGTTGATTATGTCCAAGTTTATGTAACTCCCTGAAACGAGTGCTGAAGTTGATTATTGAGAACTGTAACTTGGAACCATCTTACAGATTTAGATGGTATTCGGTGAATGGGGTTTCCCTGTTAATTTTAAATTATATTTGAAAATTTAAGCTAAAGCTTTGTGAATATATGAAAAAACTGGAACTTCTTTAAATTATGATTAATTAGCTCAATCCGAAGGAGACTTCCCTTGTTAGTCCAAGATAGTATGAAAACTCATTAGATTATTTAAAGCTTAATGAAGTTTGTATTTATCCTAAAAACGTGCTTTGTCCATTTGGTGCCTCACAGGGTTTCTCTACTGGTTTACCAGAGAGACTTCAGTTACCTCTCTTGAGAACTTTGCCTGGACTTGAAAACTGTTCAATGTTAAGGCCTGCTTATGCTGTTGAGTATGACTATCTACCAGCGCATCAATGCACAAGGTCTCTCATGACAAAGAAGGTGGAAGGACTTTTCTTCTCTGGTCAGATAAACGGAACAACTGGCTATGAAGAGGCTGCAGCACAGGTTATCTTTCTTATCTGAAAATATGATATGAACAATGTCACATAGTTTTACTTATTCTATACAATTTTCTTTCTAAGTTAATGAAGTCCATCACTTCAGTACTTATCTATCTAATCATGTTCCATCTGTTTTACTATGTTGTCTCTTCTTTCTCACCATCGAAGGGGATGATTTCTGGCATAAATGCTGCAAGACATTCAAATGGAAAACCCATCATTGTTCTGGAGAGAGAAAGCAGTTATATTGGTACATTGATTGATGATCTGGTCACTAAGGATCTTCGAGAGCCTTACCGCATGCTGACGAGGTAACTGGGTTTGTGCTTTATATACTATACAAGCAGCAGCATCTCTATGGTTTGTTAAGCAGAAGCTACGGTTGGAACTTGTAATTTTGGCTATAATCTACTGAAAATTTCGGCCTTAGACACTTAAGCAACTGTCAAGTGTTCGATCCTAGATTGCTAGAAAGTACTCTGTTCTATATATGTGGGCCTTATTCTTAAATGGAAAATAATTTTCTTATCAATTTTTCGTACGTAAACTATTTATTTATATTGTCCTTTGGCATTGTTCCTTCTCAGTCGCTCGGAGCACCGGTTACTTCTACGATCTGATAATGCTGATAGTCGTCTCACTCCTTTGGGGCGTGAAATTGGGTTGATAGATGACAGAAGATGGAAACTCTACCAGGAGAAACAAGCTCGAATACAAGAGGAAAAGGAACGTCTAAAAACTGTCAGAGTATCAGGTTTGGGTTTTTACTCGAACAGCTTGCAATTAGACTTAGGCTTTTTACCGTGGTATTGAATTTTAGATGTACGTTCACATATCCAACAATAAAGCTTTTTGAATGTCCATATGAAGAGTGGATTTGAGTTGTGGGGATAGACCATAATGGCTGCTTGGTATCTAATAACTTTGTCAATTTCAGGAGGAGATTTGGCTGCTGATGTTACTCGTCTTTCTAGGCAGCCAGTGAAGGATTATTCCACACTGGAGAGTCTTCTGAAGAAGCCACATATCCAATACGAAGTACTTGATAAACATGGCTTTGGGAATACAGTCTTATCCAGAGAGGAGAAAGACTGTGTAGAGATCGATGTGAAGTATGAGGGTTTCATCATACGTCAACAAATTCAGCTGCAGCAGGTTCTTGAACTTGGAACTTGAAGAATCTTCCTGACTCACTTTCTATTTGTCCTTATATATATCCTGTTTCCTGTAAATCGTAGATGGCACATAAACAAAATAAACCAATACCTGAGCACATAGATTACTATGCAATGACGACGTTGTCACTCGAGTCACGTGAAAAGCTCTCCAAGGTTTGTAATCGATTTTGTTCACCTTGGCATATTCATTCAGTCCGGTGCAATCATGATTCACGTTCAGTAATTTTGTGCCTTCTTTTATTTTATATCATGTGACAGGTAAGACCACAGACAATTGGTCAAGCAAGCAGAGTTGGAGGGGTAAGCCCTGCAGACATAACTGCACTGCTCATCATCCTTGAATCCAACAGGCGGAAAGCACAAGATCGGAAGAGGAGTGAGATGCTTTCTTCTGTTCTTACAGATGCTAATTCGGAGCGCCCCCATGTCCCCTCGACTGAGCCAATCAGTTTATAATAATATATTGAAGGATCATTCAACCATGCCCCGGCTACGAGGACCGGAACACTATCAAGTAGCATTCAACCATTTTGCAGAAAATTGCTTTTCTGCTAGTGACGTTGAATCCTCCAAAGGGGATGATCCTTTTGGTTTGGGGTGCGTACGTCAAGAGGAGGCCGTTGTTCTTTGCCTGGGGACATGTTGTGGCTACAAGGAGCTAGAAAGCGGTGCAAAAATGGATGTGTACTCCTGTATTATAGTCTTATCGTAGTTCTGTTCCTGAATTTATGAGTTCGTAAAATTTCAGTAGAAAATGTTGACAAGTAGCAGAAATTAAGATACATTGGATACTTGGAGGTCTACAAATATACAATGCGATTTGAAGTTATTATTCTGAAATAGTTTGTTCATATTTTGTTTAAAAATGTAAAATTATTATATGCTTTCATTGAGAGTTTAACTCAAGACCTCCCGCTTACTAAACGGGTGCTCTAACCAACTGAGCTATGAAAGCTGATTGGTTGATGTTGTTTAAACATTTATTTAGTTTTCTCAGTAAATGCTATTGAATGATTGGAAAACGTAGCTAGGGGCAAGGTGAGAGGTGGCAGTATTCCCCACGCCATCATCGAAGGTGATTCAGAAGTGGTTGTCCGGCAACTTGAAGGTAGATGTTGTGAAGGCTCGGTGGGAAGGCTCTTACTTCGTGATTGTTTTCAGTTGTTGAGATCCTGTTCTTCTTGTATTCTCTTTAGTTCGGTTCCAAGGACTGTCAACTGGGCTGCCCATAGAGTGGCAAGACAAGCCCTGCTGTTGTCCCCTGTAGAGATAGCGTCCTTCGATTTTGTAGGGTGGCTTCACTAACTGTCTTTTTGGGGTTTTGGGTAGAGGATTTAACTATTGTATTTTGATATTACTTGAAAAAAAAGGTGAGAGGTGGCTTTTCCATTTCATCATGGAACCGTGGTGAATGGGAAACATTAAAGTGGCAGCGGCTAGGGGTCGTTTGGTTTTGGTGATAGTTAAATTGATGTATTGTCATCAATGCATGTATAATAATATACATGTATATAAGAAAATTTGTGTATTGTAGCTTACATCGTTTGGTTTCTGTGATAGTTATTGTAGTATTTAAATAAATTATATAACTTTTTGGGTGAAATGTCACTTTTACCCTTTGATTTTAATATAAAAAAACAACACAAAAAAAGGTAGGGATATATTTGGAAGAAGAAGAAAACACAGCAATCTTCATCAAACAATCTCAACGAAAACTTGAGATTTAACTATCACTCATTTTGAGTGATAGTTTGTGTCAAATCAAGCAAACAATGCATGTATTGTTTGCGCAGAAAATTCGAAAAAACGATACATTATGGACATTACATGCATTGTAACTATGCCAACCAAACTATCACCAAACCCAAACCACCGCAAACTGCCGATAGAAAGTCTGGAAAACGTAAGCCAAGGCGATCCCTGTCCTAACCCCTGGTAACAAGTTCCCCATCCATTTTCCAATATTTTGTTAGGTAGCAGAAATTATTTTCTATCAATTAAAAAACCTGACTGTTTGTCTTTGAAAAATTGCTCACTTTTCTGCTTTACTTCTCCAAAATTCTACCCAGAAGATCATCTGTCCTAGTATAGTCAAGGAAATGCCACAAATTCAAGAACGTGCGTTGACACACATGGGCGGCCACTGCAGACTGCAGTCAATGGGTTCGAGTATGGACTTTATAATCTTTGAGAGAGCACAACGTATAGCCCGCCCCTGCGGATTCATAGAGTTCAAATGGGACATTCCTGCACTGCAATTATCATGGATGCAGGCAAGTTCCTTCTCTATTCTCTCCTTCTATTTCTACAGGCCCAACTTTGTAATCCGGATGATAGCATAGCCATGAACCAGACCATCAGAGATGGAGAATTTCTCGTTTCTAAAGGTGCTAACTTTGCTTTGGGGTTTTTCAGTCCCGGCAGATCTAGTTATAGATATGTTGGGATATGGCATCATAGAGTTCGAGAAAGAACTGTGGTATGGGTAGCAAATAGGAATGAGCCACTCAAGGACTCATCGGCAGAGTTGTCACTTAACCAATTTGGTGACCTGGTCATATTTGGCCATTCTTACCAGAACATTCCAGCATGGTCGACGAATGTTTCTGCTGAGGTAATGGATTTTCGCTTTGCTAAGCTCTTGGATTCTGGAAACTTGGTTCTGATTCAAGGTCAATCTGATAGAGTTGTGTGGCAAAGTTTTGATCATCCCACCAATACCCTTCTCAGTGGAATGAAACTTGGAATGAACCGAGATAAGGGTCTCAACTGGTTCTTGTCATCATGGGCATCAGCAGATAATCCTGGTACAGGTGATTACTCGCTTCAGCTCAACCCAAATGGCTCACCTCAGTTCTTTTTGTACAAGGGTAAAACCCGCTACCTTCGTACTTCCCCATGGCCATGGAAAAAATACCCTGATGTATACAATTACACCTTTGCTAGCATGGAAGATGAGACATACTTTAATTTCTCCATTGATGATCCCTCCGTTATGGTCAGATTTGTGTTGGATGACTCTGGAATGTTCAAACGATTCTCTTGGCATGTAAGTGAGGGTAGATGGAAAGAGTTCTGGTCAGTGCCAAAGTACAGGTGTGACTTCTATGGACAATGTGGTGCCTATGGTGTATGCGACCCTCTCAACGTTAATGCGTTTGAATGCCACTGTTTGCCAGCGTATGAGCCTAAGTCTCCTAGGGACTGGTCTTTGAGGGATGGATCAGGTGGTTGCATTACAAAACGCAGATCGTCCTCTTTGTGTGGGGTCGGAGATGGTTTTGTGAAAGTTGAACATGTTAAACTTCCTGATACTTCTGCAGCTATTTGGGTTCACACAAGTTCAAGCAAGGTGGACTGTGAACGGAAGTGCCTGAAGAATTGTTCTTGCACCGCATATGCTAGCATAAAGAACGGCGGGGAAGCAAGTAGCTGCCTGCATTGGAACGGGGAATTAGTGGACACAACAAACCGTGAAAGTTTTGATGGCCATGATCTCTATGTCCGTGTTGATGCTTTTGAATTAGGTACTTCGACTGGGTCATGCTGAAAAGCCCAGTTTACCTGTAGATGCTTTCTTGTTTATTGTGTTCTGCTTATTATCTAGTTTCTATGATGTTTTTGATGCCCTGTTTCCTAACCCATGCAGCTGAGAATTTGATGAGATCTCGCAGCTTCTTTAGGAGGAAACGGATGCAGCTGATGCTAGTAACTTCTGTTTCTTTCACATGGTCTGTCATTCTTGTAGTGCTCCTATGGCTCAGAAAGCGAAAAAGAAAAGGTAAGAAACAAGTTCAGGTCCTCGTGGTACTAAGTTCCCACTGCTTTACACTCTGGAATGAGCAATTAAGTTCGTCTTTTTGAAAGACAGGTAGGGGGAAAGGGCTCAACATATTATTTGACAGCGAAGGGAGCAGGTACAGTGATAAAGGGGCGAACATGTATGTTGGAAGCAGTGATCTTACTATTTTCAGCCTCACTGCTATAAGTGCAGCCACTGCTGACTTCTCTCCAGCTAAAACACTTGGACAAGGTGGTTTTGGCTCAGTTTTTAAGGTAGAGTTATTCCCTTCTTTTCATTTGAGTTCTTTGGTTCTGGATGAACAGAAACTTATTGCATAACAACATCTACTTCCAGGGTCAGCTACCTCATGGACAGCAGATTGCTGTCAAAAGACTTTCCAAAAACTCAGGTCAAGGGATTGAAGAATTCAAAAACGAGGTCAGAATTATAGCAAAGCTCCAGCACAGGAATCTTGTGAAACTACTTGGCTGCTGCACAGAACGAGATGAACAAATACTAGTATATGAGTATATGCCTAACAAAAGTTTAGATTCTTTTCTCTTTGGTAAGTCTGGAAGCATACACCTTGCCGTCCTTAAAACTTGCTCTTCTCAAACTAATTTGAGTGAACAAATGCAGATGAAAGGAAAAAACAGTCTCTGGATTGGAGAAAACGAGTGGAAATAGTTTTGGGGGTTGCCCGTGGAATCCTCTATCTGCACCGAGACTCGAGGTTTCGAATCATCCATAGGGATTTGAAAGCAAGCAACATTCTTTTGGATGGACAGATGAATCCAAAGATTTCCGATTTCGGACTAGCCAAAATGTACAAAGGCGAAGACTTTCCAGAGAAAACAGCTAGAGTTGTTGGTACATAGTAAGTGCATTCTCTCATCACTCGAGCAACCCTCTCCCCAGCATTTGATATATGAATTTATGTGACGATTTTTGTGTCACAGCGGCTATATGTCACCAGAATATGCAGTCTTTGGAAAATTCTCCACAAAGTCCGATGTCTTTAGCTTCGGGGTAATTTTTTTGGAGACTATTAGTGGGAGGAAGATTAGTGCCTTCTGCAAGGAGGATCCATCCCTGAACTTGATAGGACATGTAAGTGAATGTACTAATAAAATCCACACTTTCATATTCTGCAAACTACTCTTGCTGTGCTGTTGATGTTATGAATCATGCAGGTATGGGAGTTATGGAGAGAAAAAAGAGCATTAGAGATAATTGATTCGGCAATTATGGAGTCATATGTTCCAAGTGAAGCCTTGAGGTGCATTCAGATAGCACTGTTGTGTGTGCAAGAAGATCCAAAGGACCGGCCAGATATGTTAGCAGTTATTCAGTGGTTGAACGGTGAAGCTTCTCTTCCTTCCCCTGACCAGCCCGCCTTTGTCCTGAGAAAATATTGCAAGGATCAACAGTTTTCACTGAAGGGAGAAATCATCCCCGAGGATACCTTTTCTCTCCCTTTTGTAACCTGTTGATTTGCAGAATCCATGCTCACCAGCCTCGAAGTTTTTCCTCAAAGAGAAGAGGGTACTTTTCATATGAACCTTGCAAGCATACTTTAGCTTCTTACTGATGTCAATGGATTACCAATTATGCTGCTATCAGAAGGTTGCTGCAATATAATTGTGAAATTCTCCAATTAGATCAGATATATAGTGCCAGTTCCTAAATCATTGATTTTGAAGCATTATTTATTGTGAAGATATGTCATCGTCGACTTCCCGACTCTTCCCAGCAAAGGGGACATGACAAAATGATGCCATCCATCCTTGACTGAGGACCCCATTACTGTCTGCCGGAAAAAGTTGAAATCAACTAATAAGATATGTGTGGTTCCGTGCCTCTTGAGTATATCCCATCTCTCAAATAACTACAGGAATTGACGGCTAACGGAGACAGCAAAACACCACTCCTCTACAAAGATTAAAGACCGTCACTGTTAGCTGTCACTTGTCAGTGCTGGAGGCTGGAGCCTAGTTTTGAATATGAACTCAATAAATTGTTCAACTGAATCTGTTATGAGGTTAATGCATGGCGGCCATTAAATGAGAGGTAATTTTTGTTGTTACAACTCGCTTTTGTTTCTTTCCATTCTGAGCACATATTTTTTGACGGTCATTACGTCGTCTTCTCATTTATTCTGGTCACTCCTTTCACTTTCATGTGACTTTTCTTTTCCCAAGAATACGGCAAACTATGAGAACTCCAATGATCTTCTTTTTCACAGTCCACAACAATTGGTGGGTTTTAAGTTCAACCGCTGACCTTATGTAAATGTTTTGCAGAGTTTCGACTATCCTGCAAAATCATGACGGGGTTCACGGTGATTGATAGATGCGTTCTGCTTTCCACGTTTCTAACCTTACAATTACTTCTTTGTGTCACTGCTACAGACACTCTGGAAGCTAACCAAATAATCGAAGATGGTGGCCTTCTCATCTCCAAAGGTGGTAAATTTGCCTTGGGATTTTTCCATCCAGGTCATTCTAGCAGCAGCAACAGATCATATCTTGGAATCTGGTACCATAAAGTAATACCACAAACCGTGGTGTGGGTAGCAAACAGGAACAGTCCCGTCAACAGAACTTCTGGAGTTCTCGCTCTTGATGGCCATGGCTGCCTTGTTCTCTACAGTAGCCATGACCAAAGAAGGGTCCCCTTGTGGTCTGCTAATGCAACTTCATCGGTGGATACCTATGTGGCTCAGCTGTTGGATTCAGGGAATCTGGTCTTGCTCCAAGGTTTGCCAGAACAACGCAGAATGGTGTGGCAAAGCTTTGATTATCCCACAGATACCGCACTCCCGGGAATGAGCATTGGTTTGAATCTGAGAACCGGTTTTGATCGGCACTTGACATCATGGAGATCACCCGATGACCCGGGAATTGGCAACTACTCTTTCCAGGTCCACCCAAACGGCTCCCCACAGTTCTTCCTTTACCAGAAGCCAAATGGGAACCACTATTGGCGCAGCGGGTCATGGCCGTGGGCGCACTTCCCTGATCTATACAACTACACTTTTGTCAACGGAGAAGATGAAGTTTACTTCTCTTTCACGGTTGGCGACGAAAATCTTCTGTTAAGAATAGTGGTTGATGATACAGGAACCATGAAGCGATTGAGGTGGCACGAGAATGACGAGAGATGGAAGGAGTACTGGTCGGCGCCCAAGTCCAGATGTGATTACTATGGACAGTGTGGTGTTAACAGCTTATGTGATCCGAATAATGTCAATAGCTTTGAGTGCACTTGTTTACCTGGTTATGAACCGAGGTCGCCAGGTAGCTGGCGGCTTAGGGATGGATCAGCAGGATGTGTCAGGAAGCAGTTAAAACCTTCCACATTCTGTGAACGTGGAGAAGGGTTCTTGAGATTGGATAATATAAAGATTCCCGACACTTCAGCTGCTGTTTGGGTTAGCAGGAGCATGACTCAAGTTGCATGTGAAGAGGCCTGCAGAAGTAATTGTTCATGTTCTGCTTATTCAAGGAGGTATCTTGAAGGGAAAGATAAGGGGTGCTTGGCGTGGTATGGGGAATTAAATGACACTGTTATATTTCTTGACAGTGGTGATGATCTATTCGTGAGAGTTGATTCACATGAATTGGGTAATTATAAGCTCATATGTTCAGCTTGAGAAGCTGGTACTCTTTCAGTTTTTTTTTTTTTTTTCTTCCTATGCACATCATTGCTTCCTTAACATTACATATTAATTTCCTTCTGGGTCACAGCTGAGAATCTAAGGAAATTATCTGGTGATGATGCTGTGGTGAAGGTTAAGCTGGCAATTGTTGTGCCATCTGTTGCTTCAGTTTTGTTTGCCATGACGATATTTGTCTATTTCAGGCTTCGGAGCTGGAAACGGGAGAGAGGTAAGAATCAGGGGAGTCTTTCTACTGTTCGCTGCTGTCACAACATTTGAAAACGTTAGTCCCCTACGGAAACTGAAATGCTTTTTCGTTTTTTTCAGTGAAGAGCAGATGGATCAAAAGAGTATTTGATTCTGCTGGCGGTTCGAATTCCTCTACGGGCAGTTTGGCTGCAACGGTACTTGGAGCAAACACCATTTACCCGGAGCTACCATTTTTTGATTTGCGTGACATTGTGACCGCCACTCAGAATTTCTCTCCGGCTAACAAAGTTGGTCAAGGTGGTTTTGGGGAAGTTTACAAGGTTAGCAAGAGTAGTAGTCAAATTACATTACTTTGTCAAATGCTGTTCTATTGAGTTGACTAATAACCCTTTGAGCGCTGTGATTGAATTTTCCAGGGTCAGCTAACAAATGGAGAAGAGGTGGCAGTAAAAAGACTATCTAGAAGTTCAGGTCAAGGAATTGAAGAGCTGAAAAACGAAGTGGTGTTGATTGCCAGGCTGCAACACAGGAATCTTGTGAAGCTTCTTGGGTGCTGCATTGAGGATGAAGAACAGTTGCTTGTTTATGAGTACTTGCCAAACAAAAGCTTGGACTCGTTCCTCTTTGGTACGTAAGTTCTATGCAAATTCTGCAAGAGCTCCTTTTGCTTTTAGTCTCGTCGTTGTTTCATTACAACCATCTTTAGAAGAAGGAATACGTAACAACATTAGGCTACAAAAATTTTGGCAGATGAAAGGAGGAGCCATTTATTAGAGTGGAGGATCAGATTCAACATCCTCGTGGGGATTGCTCGTGGGATATTGTACCTTCACCAGGACTCGAGGTTCAGAATAATACATCGGGATCTGAAAAGCAGCAATGTACTCTTGGATGCAGAGATGAATCCAAAAATTTCAGACTTCGGCTTGGCTAAGATATTTGACAGCGATCACACCCAAAACAAGACAAGCAGAGTTGTTGGAACATAGTAAGTATTGGTGATTGATATCATCTTCTACGAAAAACGATGCATTTGTTTAGTTGCATGCTATTACAAATTCCATTTGCTGTAGCCCAGTATGGAATTGTGAATCATATGAAGGTAGGCTGAAGGCTGCTAGTTTATCTCAATGTAAGTATTTAACCAAGTGAGTTTGCTCTCTGGTGCGTGCAGTGGCTACATGTCTCCAGAATACGCAGTGTTCGGAAAGTTTTCAGTGAAATCCGATGTGTTCAGCTTCGGTGCCATACTACTGGAGGTGGTAAGCGGCAAGAGGATCAATTGCTTTCTCCACGAGGCAGCTCCACGGACATTGATCGGACATGTAAGTAGGAGTCGGGAAATGTTCAGCTAGCTAGCTAGCTATTCGTGTAATTCCATTCTCTGCCATCTCCCAAGGAAAACTATAATGTGATGAATGGAAATTTAGGTATGGAACTTATGGAGGGAGAAGAGGGTGTTGGAGATCATGGATCCTTCATTGAAGGAATGCTATGTTGCCGAGGAAGCTCTGCGGTGCATCCAGTTGGGGCTGTTGTGCGTTCAGGAAGATGCAATGGACAGACCAAACATGTCAGCAGTTGTTCTGATGCTGAACAGCGAGACACCGATTCCATCTCCGAAACAACCGGCTTTCGTTTTCAGGCGACCTGGCGCGGATGCCAATTCGGTGATGGCCGGTGGTGGTGATCCTTGTTCCATCAACGATCTGACTCTAACAGGGGTGGTGTCGCGGTAGAGAGAACTACAAGTCACTTGCAGTTGTGGGGAGACATAGAAGTAGAGTGTACATTCCTTCTGTTCTGTCTCATATTTCGTAGGAGAAAGAGAGTTGAAGCAATAGTTTCATACCATGAAAATGCACATATGCATAATCAATGCTTGTCCCCCGTAACCTAACCGATCAATACTTAGCATACATGAAAACTCCTTACAAGATTTCTCTGAGAGTAAATGGTTCCTTATAATTTCCTACCAATATTTCTTTTTCTTTTTTTAGTAAGACGGACATCAATAACGTCTTAGACAGCATTAGAGATTAAACGTTCTTGGGATAAGTATAACCAATATTTGTTTGCCGTAGCCTGTGGTGCGTACTGCTTGTATACAACCAAGTTTTGTCGGGGAGGGTAGTGGATACAGGGTTTCTAATTGGGCTAATACCACTACAACATCCGAACTATTCTAAAAATTCCACTTGTGTCCTATTGTTTTCAATATTCCATCTGTGTCCTGAACTATGATTCTGTTATCGTTGACTTTTGTTGACCGTTAAATTTTAACGGAATGACAGATCAGCGCTGATGTGTACGCGGACGTGGCTCTTTCTTCTGCGACGTGGCTCTTTATTTTTTTCTTATTTTAAAAATCTAAAATGAATTAAAAGGTAAATTTTGTGTGGCCATTTCACCAACCACATTTACCTTATCTTATTATGGAAGAGAGAGAATTCAGCGAAAGGAGGGGAAGAACCCTAAACAGTCTCCCGACGAAGAAGGCTACCGGCGCTGGTGATTCTCCTCTACTCGAGCATGGGGCGTTCGATTCGGCGCTGGTGAAGGCTCTCAGCAACACGAGAAGCGGGCGATCGATTCCTCGAGGGGAGGGCGATTTCTTCAGACTCCTCCGTCTGACGAAGATCGACCCACGACCACCATCACCGATTCTTTCTTCTCAACATCTCCTGGAACATTTGTAGCCTTCAAATCGTCCACCATTGAAGGATTCGAGCAGCCATTTGAAGAAGAAGGCGCTGATTTGTGGGATTTGAGTTTCCCCCAAATTTTCTAGGGTTTCTCCTCGAGGCTTTGTGGTCTCTTTTCTGGAGTGTTGGAAGTATTTGAAGGGTGACTGGGTGGTTGGGAAGCAAAGAAGGTGCCAGAAATAGTACAAAGGAGTAAATGGCGTAGCTGCTTCGCTAGTGTTATAGCTCGAGATTCTCTAGGAAAATGTTGAAAAGCAGGGACCACGAGGACAGTGTGAAGACTAATTTACCCTTTTGGAAACTTCAGTAACAGGTATGATATGGGTGAAATTAGTACGTATTGGTCATTTACATTGGTGGTTGAGAAGTCGTTGTCTTGGGTCAGATTATTCAATTGAGATGGGAATCAGTTTTGTGGTCTTCCAGAAGCAAAGTAGTATTCCAAATGCTTTGTGGAATGCTTTACGGAATAGAATATTAGGGGTGGTTAAAGTATGCTTAATGTATGAATTCGATGAATTTAGGCTATTGTTAAATGGGGATTGTTTGGTTTTGCAGGATGTCGACATTGGTGGAGTTGATTGTCCATCATGGTGGTAAAATGGAATATTCTGATGATGGTATTCGCTACATAAATGGCAAGTCAGAGGCTGTTGACATGGACATAGATTATGTCTCGTTCTTCCAACTTCAACAAATTGGAACAGTCCACTTCGATTACGCAAGGGTTGAGAGGCTGTGATACATGACACCCTCCGACACTTTGGATAATGGTCTAGTTGAAATACGGTCTGATAGTGAGGTGATGGATGGCTTGCTCCCAGCCATAGAAGATGGAAAAATATGATATTCATGGAAGCAATAGAAACTCAAATCGGGGACAATGAAGAACTTGGAGAAGAGTTATCTGATGATGGTGATTCGGAGGATGGGGATAACTCACAAAACCGAGACATTATCCATCTCATGGATGATGATATCCGTACTTAGGATGATGAGTTCATTGATGCAATGGTGGAGCAAGGAGTCAGACCACGACGAGTTCGTACTCGTGTTGATTGAACTGGGGAGGAGGTAGAGCAAGAGTCTTTGTTTGTTGATGGTGACCCACTTGTGGATGAAGGCAAAGGTAACAGTGAGACCATTGGTGCGGATGAGGGTGTTAACGAGGAATTGAGGGACAGGGTTTTGGAAGATTCAGCCTACAGGGTTCAATTGAGTCACGCCACGTGAGGGGGAACATTGATGACGAAGACAAAGGTAGCCCTCTAGAAAACGAACCTCGATATGACCCTATGTGTGACCATTCAACCCTTAAGTTGGTGTGGGCATGTCATTTGACAACTCTGAGCAGTTCAAGGAGGCCGTTGAAAGCCATTGCATTGCCATTGGAGCTGACATGAGATGGACTAGGAGTGACAAGCAAAAGAAGCGTGCTCAATGCCGTAACAACTGCGGGTGGTACGTTTATGGAAGCTGGCATGGACGTTCTTGCTTTATGATCAAGAATGTTGGAAAGGATCACACATGTCCTAGGTCTGTGAGAATGAAGGTTTCAAATGTTGTTTGGGCTGCTAAAAAGTACCTCGATAGATTCAGAAGGGAGCCGAATTGGAAGGTCAAGAACATGATGGTTGAAATAAGGCAAGCACACAACGTTCAGATTTCCAGGAGGCAATGCTATAGGGCTCGGATTTATGCGAAGATAATGTTGGGTGGCTCATTGGTTGAAGAGTACAATAAGGTCAGGTCCTATGTGGCAAAAATGAAGAGAAAAGATCCTGCTGGAACCTTCATACTTGAGGTTGACCCAAGTTCTCTTCTCTAATGCTAGCTAAATCACCATACAACAATTTTAAGGCCTTCTTTCTTCGCACTGCTTTTTCTTCAGCAACTCTTAAACTCTCTTTCAAGCTTTCAGTCTGAAAGTCCATCAAACCTAGGTTCGACTTGATATGTTCATTCCCTCCAACAACCCCATTGGAGCAAGCACCTTCGCTGTCTTCGTTCAGAGTATCAGCCCAAATGAACAAACGACAACTTTCTTCCTCATCCTGCCATGTAGAAATCAACCCATGGTGAGATCATTGCCCATCTCAATCACAATTAAATAACAAACCACTACTTCATTTACCTGCCAATGAGGGCAGCAATAGAACTGCCTCCCCGGATTCAGTTCAGTTCGAGAAACATAAAGAAAAGCTGGTATATTATGCCAACATTTAACGGTACGTGAGTTTGATGAATTCGACCCAGAAATGCTTTGCGACCCTCTTCTGGACATTTTTGAATTACTGCCACGAAAACAGGACACTAAATCCCCAATTGAAAGAAACCCTAAATTACCAAAATCAACTATTAATGTACCTAATAGATGGTAAGGCTCTTTTCTAGCGGATTGACATTCCTCGCAATTTGGGTCTTCACAGTCGAATCTCCTCGCCCCAGCACAAATACCAAACGCTGCTCCTCGTGGCTCCTCACCGCCACTACCCCGACACCCACTCCGCGCCGACGCAACGCAAGCCCCGCCCTCGCTACTTCTCCATATGCGCCTGCCCAAATACAACAGCCTGTCGTCGTCGCCGTCTTCGAAAGCCACACTCGAGCAAACCAAGTTCGGCACTTTGGCTGGGTAGAGGAGAAGAAAGGGTAGAAGATAAGAAATTAGGTCGATGGGAAGAGGTAAGATCGTAAATATAGGCTGGGTAAAAAATTTAATTCCCATTTGTAAAAAAAATATTTAATTCTAATTTGACGTGGCATCAACGTGTCTACCACGAGGTAGCCACGTTGGCAGCAATCCGACGTCGTTTTAAAAGTCGTCTGGTCAACCGTTAATACTTAACAGTCAACAGAACCGACAGGATACAAATGGCACAAAGTATAATAGTTCAGGACACAGATGGAATATTGAAAACAATAGGACACAAGTGGCATTTTTGGAATAGTTCGGGTGTTGTAGTGGTATTAGCCCTTTCTAATTTATTGGAATTGATTAGAGGATTGGACGGGTCTTTGTTAGGGGTGGAAATTGGGGTGGGTGTGGTTACCCGCCCCACATTTTGCGGGTAGCCACACTCACAAATTTACAATTATGCTACTCACAACCCGCACCGCAGTGGTTAGTGGGTAACCACTACCCACTATGGGTTTGTGTGGATTGGATGTGGTTACCCGCAAAAATCCATCTTTGCAAGCATAGAGTTCTAGTCGTCACTAACGTATTTGTTGTTCGTAACTAGACTATAGTGATATACACTTGTGTTGTTCGTGGAGATACAATTTTGTACATCGATCTTACTCAACGTGAAGATTTTTTCTTTTTTAGTTTGGTATTCAACTTTTGTGTCAGAGAGCTGTGATTTCATATTTCCCCGACTAGGGGTGAAATATGACAATTAAATATGATCTTGTATTTTTTTCACACAAAAGCAAAAACATACTGATAAAAGTTATAAAAGGTGTTCACTTTGAATGAATTGATTATTCTCCACACTATCGATTATAGTGTTTTATAAACTAAAAAATTCTTATATAAAACTGATTAAGTGTGTCTTTTTTATTTGGTGGCTACTTTAATTTTTATCCTCATACTTTTCACATACTATTATATTATAAAGTTAATTCACTAAATAAATATAATTAGTGTGGTTATTGTGGATTTTGAGGGTTAACCGCGGTGGGTAGTGGATAATCACTAACCACAAAAATCATTATTTTACTGCCTACACCCAACCCACTACCCACAACTTGTGGGTATGGTTACCCACAATAGGTGTGGGTTGGTGCGGATTATCCACAACCCGCAACCCAAACTTCCACCCCTAGTCTTTGTATTTTCTCAGATTAGATGCTAACCCCTATACAACGACATTGATCTTAGTAAAGGACGCTTTAGATGTACGTGATTCGGGTTAGCATCATACTAATTAATCTAAAAGTCTTTAGATCAAAATAATAATCTTGGGGTTAGAATTAGTCAAAGAATAATTTATTAAATATCCTTCAAACCCTAATATAATGCTAACCTTTTTTTTTATTATCACACCCTACCCTACACCCCCTTCTCATAATTTCTCTCCCACGTCTCTCTCCCACTCTTCCTCCTTTCCCTCTACCTCTTCCCTCTCTCACACGATTTTGGCAAGGTGAAGCGAAGAAGACGGTGGTCGATGGGGAAGATAGTAGACGCGGAGGAGAAACAAAGAACACGGCCCTTGCCAGGCGATTGCAGTCGACAACGGAGGAGAAACGAAGAATAAGACGTTTGCGGAGGCAACTGCAGTCGACGACGGAGGAGAATTGAAGAAGTTGATGATTGTAGAGGTGCTCGCTCGAGAGAAGGAGAAGCCGAAGAAGCCCAGATTGCAGAGACGGAGGTCGTAGAGGGAGATCTGGATCGCAGAGGTCGTGCTCGCTCGCCCTATTTTCTCTTCTTTTATTGGATATGGAAAACTTAAGAAACTGTTTAAGTTTGAGGTTTAAAGACATGATCCAATAATCAATGTTTCTTTTAATTGTTAACAACCAATTATCTCTAATTAATTTTAATTGAACATTAAACGTTCTGAACTAAATCTATTAACGGCGTTAAATATTTTGATTCATTGAAAGGTAAAGTGAGCTTATTGATTTTGTGTTGTATAGTAACAATTTCATCAACCAAACCGAACCAATTTAAAACTCCCACTCGAGGGTGAAGTGTCACATCTAGGGGCGGCCAACAATCCGATTCACACTAGACAGAGTTGGATCTAATCGATATTTGGACCGAATCGGATTGGATTGAGTATATTTCGATTCGATTTTGGTCCTATAAATTTTTTAAGTATGAAAAAATGGAGCGAAAGTGAATTTGGACGAAAAATATCACGTATAGCGTACACGTTGCTATTGTACGAAAGATTAATTTGGCCCAGCAAGGGAAATGAATGATCAACTTTTAGCTTACTTATTTATACTATATTGAACATATCATAATAGATTTTTTTTTTTGTGTAAATCGTAGCGCTAAGGCCGCCCCCGCCTTGTATTAAATAAACGAGGGGTTTGAACCCCAATGAGATCAAAATACAGCCAATAGTTCAAGATCAGATCAGGCGTATCAAAAGTATTAGTTCCCAAGGATAGACCATGGCCTAAGGATGCTAGCTAGTCAGCAACAATGTTCCCCTTATTGAAAATATGACAAACTTCGACCTCCCATTCCCAGCCAGTAGCTTTCGGGTTTCGGAAATCAGCAATGAGTGAGCGTGATGATCCCCCTCCGACATGATGAGTGTCAGTGTCATCTGTAAATCTGTTTCGAACACTAATTTTTGTGTGCCAATCTCCCATGCAGTTTGGAGACCATGGACTATCCCCGCAAGTTCTGCCCTCGTAATCGATCCTTCCCCGAGGTTTGTTGCGAAAGCTCAGATAATGCGTCCGTCAATCTCTTCTAATAACTCCTCCCGCGGCTGCGTTCCCCACCGCATAAGATCCATCCGTGTTCAAACACGTCTAGCCCTATGGTGGAGGAGTTTCTCGCGAAACCAAATATCCACCGTCGGTGTCAAAATCGTTTCGGGCGATGTTGATTTGATTGTTTCGCTGTGGAAACTTTTGCAAAACCGTCAAATATCCACCGCCGGGAGGTGTTGATTTGATCGATGCACCAGTGACTTCTTAACTAAGACGACCGTCAAATATCCACCGCCGAGTGATGTTGATTTGATCGATGCACCTCATACTTCTAACCAAGAACGACCGTTACTCGGTTCACACCTCTCCAAACAATGTTCGAATGAGAGTGTTTGAGTTTTTGGGGAATGTATGTTAAAACTACTCCTATGGAGATTCCTGTGGAGAGCTCCGCGACTATGCTACGACTATGACTATTGAGATCCTTCCTGGAAGGAAAGCTTCGCGAAGGTGTTACACAGAAAAAGATAAATTTAAACATATCTGTTTATGTGTTGATTTCTGGCTATTCTTTCTCTCTCCTTGCTCCGCTGCTTTTATTCGAAAAACATCTTTGTAGTCTTTACGCTTCGTGAAACCGCTTCCTCAACTGCTCCGTTGTAAACTCGCACGTGTCTCAACTGCCTTGATCTCCTCTTTGCTCTGGTTGGCGTGAATCTCCAGCAAAGAAACCACTTTCGTTGCAACGTTGTAAATTTCAACGACACTACACCTCCAATCTTCACTTCTATCTATGTGAGACACACATGCACACTAAAGTACCTGAGCCTAGGATCAGTATTGCGGTTTGAATTGCAAGTTGTTGTTTCATGGCTGCAATATTGTCATGATTTGAGCCACAAAATTATTAACATAATTGAAACCACGTTGTTGCAAGACCCGCGACGATGTTGCTAATTAAACAAAGTCATTGTTTTGACTCAACGACATTGTCGGACTCGCAACATTGCCTATCTAACCTCGCGACATCGCTAAGATCGGTGTTGTTACACATCGCGATATCGTTGAGCTCGCATCACTGTCAAATTCACAAGTTGAATTCACGACATCGTTTAGCTCCACAATGTTGTCTCTCCCCACGACGTCGTTGAGATCTCCACCTTGCAACGCCGTTGAACTCGCGACACTGCTCACCACATCAGTATTGTTTATCGCGCGGCGTCTTTAACCTCGCGACGCCACAAAAAATTTTTTTTTTAACCGAAAATATTTTAGGTGTAAACAGAAGGGCTCCAGGCTACTAGGTGCTTACGGTACTCTCCGCTTGTGTTGAACATCTGGCATGTTATCACACCCGCTTCCATTATCTATTGCTCAAGGGCAACCACTCTGCGACAAATGGACTCCAGTTGTTCCAATTTTTTCTCAAAAACATGCATATTCCAGTTCTTCCAAAGTGTCCAACACATAACTAATTATCACAATAAATTCTATCTTAGCCTAACTAATTATTTCAAAAACATTTTGAGAGATTTCTTAATTAACACAATTATTTTATTCGTATAATTATATTATGATTTTACTTTTTTGTCTATTCACGATTGTATATAGATAATTTTCAGCTCCATCGCAAAATCCTGGCTACACCTCTTCATAGTCACATCCACCCACGTCAACACAAGGTTGGGAAAGCAATCACCATGCCCCTAGTCCTCTCCCCTACCCACTTGAACCGTCACAACTTTTTGCATTTATAATTATATAACCTGGTCAAAGTAGGTAAAGCCCGCTTTGATGGATTGTGGGATGGGTTCGGGTTGAAACCCATTGCATTGTTCAACGGGTTAGGGTTGGCGTGGGGTTTAGGTATATTTGACTCATGGATTCCCACCACACACTCATACTCCAACAACCTTGTCGATTAACGGTATTGTTCGTGGATGTTTATTTTAAATATTGAACAATTTGTGGATTCGCTTATTTATAGTAGATTAGTATTATTTGTATGGATAATTTGTTTAGGAAGATTGGTGTTAAAGTTTTATTTTGACTAGCGATTATTTTTGCAGATACATCCGCTGAATTAAGTTTGAATTTGACAAAACTCAGCCCAATCCGATTTATTGCCATTCCTACAGTTAACCATCCCACTGACCGACCCTACCCAGATGCCAAAATCCACCGAAGAGCTAGCTAGTTGCCGTGAAAAACCAGTTTTGAATAATATGCTTTCTTGGGTCCTTAAATAGGCCCAGGCCCTGCCCACTTCCACCCAACACCAACAAAGAGCCCAAAAAATGGGGTCGAACAATCGCATCGTCCTCAACTCCAACAACCTCTACCTCCTCCCAAGGAGCGACAAAACCGTCGGCGTGGTGGACCCGGGTCGGGATCTCAACACCCACAATGTCCCGCGCAACATGGACCAGTGGCGGCAGCTGGGCCTGGTCGGCAACAACGCCAGATCTACTCATCGGGAGCTCGAAATCTTCGGCGTCGTCATCTCCGGGAAGAAGTTGGAAGACCTCTCCACCGACCTCATCAACCACCAGTGCGTCACAAACCGCGAGGGGTTCATGATCATGTACTTCAACGTCGGCGCCGACAACATGTACCTGATTAACCAGTCCAGCGTCATCCGTCGCCTCAACGACCTCTTCGACTGGTCCAAGTATGGCGTCCTCGTGCCGGCGACGATCCAGACCGTGTGGGACCGGTTCCAGCTGGACACTGCGAGGGCGATGGTGGACAGCAGGGCGGTCGGGGAGAAGGTGGGGGAGCTGAGGAAGCTGGTGGAGGAGAAGGAGGAGGTGATTTTGAAGAATTTGATAAATCGGAATTGAAACGAACACAAAACAACGAATTTTACGTGGTATCCTTGATCGATTGATTGATCGAGACTAATCCATGGTGAGCTCATAAGAGCTCACAGCTGATCTCTTATTAGGATTACATCTTGACGGCTTGCTATCACACAAGTCGATAGCTAAGCTTATATAGATAAACTTAGGGTTAAAACCCTAATCCAACGAACCAGACGAGGCCCAACGAGGCCCAATACTAACACGGTTTAAGTAACCGCAACACTCCCCCTCAAGCGAAGACATGAATGACAAGAATGTCAAGCTTGAAGAAGTAAATGTGAAGAACAAGCATGATGGCTTGAACCACAAAAATCGAGATGAATAACATCTCAGACGAGGTTGATTAGAGACGACTGACTCTCTCTGAACAACCTGATGATAGAGACGATTGACTGCGTCTCTTGAACTGGAACACACTTGGTACATCGCGGTCGACCTGATGACTGAATTAGTCGACCGACCTATGTTGACCTCCTATTCTCCCCCTAAAGCTGGAGCATGAACAACGTGAATGCCCAGCTTGAAAAGCGATGAATGGTTGATATGTGCTCAATAATGAACTGGAAGAGGGGACAACCATTTCTTGGATCGTGAATGCCAGCTGGACGATGAAGGGACAATTACTTCTTTGATCGTACTACCTTTTGAACGCCAGGGGACGGCCATTCTATGGATCGTGAATGCCTCGACCTGATGACTTGAAAATTTTGTTGACAGAAGTTGTCTTTCTCCCCAACACTAGCTATTTGAAGAGATGACCACTAACGATCATGATTGTCTTCAACGCCATGACTGTGATGTTGGTGAAGATTCTCCTCTCTACATGACCTTGACTAGCCACAATGACAACTTGACTCCAGCTTTGGACAGAGTATGAATTCCATGACACATCTCGTCGGCTGTAAACTTCAAAAGTATCCTGAACTGAGTGTTGATGGTGAGGACGTTAGTCACAATAAACAAGCTCGACAAAGCACTTGGGACTATGTGTGCAATAATGGAACCAATGAAAGAATAGGTCACCAAAATCAAAACAAACTCTACCCTGCCAAATTGTCTCCCAAAACTAATCCTTGTGCGAACACCACCACAACAACAAAAAACATTAACCTGCATGTGCAAAGGCAAATGCCCCACAACCAATTGTGAGTGCTTGATGAATATCACCGGCTCCCACGATAACAAGATAATAACGTCGTCGCCGTTGACCATGTTAGTGTTGTGGTATATGATCCACGATTGAACATCTCCCAACAACTCGAGTTATTGGGACTAACTGGTTCATGACATGGTATCAGAGCCTTTTGTGACCGAGAGCTCTTGTGTTCGATTTCAGGTGACCCCATTTGTTAAGCACATGATATTCTTATCTTTAGACCTGTGCAAACTGCAAACTTCAAGCCCTTGTGAGTGGCTTTCGTTTGAGGGGGCATGTTAGTGTTGTGGTATATGATCCACGATTGAACATCTCCCAACAACTCGAGTTATTGGGACTAACTGGTTCATGACAGACCAAACCTACGCCCATCAACCTTGCAACACAACCCTAACAACAACATAACCTGGAGGGGACGACATGACCACAATGATGAGACCGGAATTGGAGTCCAAGACGTTGATTATTGACGTCACAGCCAGATCCCCAACTTGCAGCTGGATTGAAGAATACGCCAAAGCACCAGCTTAGCCGCTGATCAAGCATCTCGGACGAGGGCGCTGGTACGAGCCGATGTCGGCACTGCAATCAAGCAACGAAACCCCAAAAAAAACTTGATATCGGACTAAAGCATGGGCTTTGACTCGGATACGGATGAGGCAGAGCAATTGATGACAAGATCATCGACCAAGAGGACGGCGAACTGACGAGGCTGATGGGGATGGCGACGCGCTCGACCCGGAACGAGAACGCAGCACGGACAACCCTGATTGTTGATGTTGACGAGACCGAGGACAAGCCAGCGGGATGAACTTCGCTGGTGTGCGGAAGACTAGCTGAATCTACAGCTCTGATACCATGAAGAATTTGATAAATCGGAATTGAAACGAACACAAAACAACGAATTTTACGTGGTATCCTCGATCGATTGATTGATCGAGACTAATCCATGGTGAGCTCATAAGAGCTCACGGCTGATCTCTTATTAGGATTACATCTTGACGGCTTACTATCACGCAAGTCGATAGCTAAGCTTATATAGATAAATTTAGGGTTAAAATCCTAATCCAACGAATCAGACGAGGCCCAATACTAACACGGTTTAAGTAACCGCAACAGATTTCGTGTCTCAAGGCCAAGGAGCAGAGTTGCAGCGCTTTGGCGGTGGAGCTGCTGCGAAAGCTAAGGGATGATGAGGTGGCGGCCAAAGATAGGCAGGTGAATGCTCTTAGGGCAGCTATGGAGGCATTGATCGATGAAGTTTAATCAAATTTATTGCCGTCGCGGCGCCAACTTTATATCTATATCTATCTATCTACAACATATATAATACGTTTTCAAGCTTCAAAAAACTTCGATTTCAAAATTCCAGCCCTGGGAGCGTTTCCCGGAAGGGCATTAAAGGAACTTCCCCAAATTAAAATCCTACACACCGTTTTTGCATCTACCAATTAATTTTTTTTAATTTTTTTTTGTTCAGTTCCTTGGTGCCTCTGCCTCCCCTTCCCTCGCTCGAATGAATACCTAAAGAGTAAAGGGCCTTTAGTAAAGGCTAAAAGCCTAAACCACTTAGTGCCTCTTTCCTAAGTCGACAGCTTCTTCGCATCAATCTGTCGAGTGTCGACTGCATATCCTTCTAAGCCCTGCCTTGCCAACCACCCAGCTTCTCTAATTTTCTATTCCAACGATTTCAGCACCCGAAAATTTTGTATCAGTTACAAATTACAACACATCCCCTACCGCCATTGATTCTTCATTCCCGCCGTGGTGACGACGTTGATCGAAGAAACACATACCTTTCATTCAGATGCAGATTCTTTTTCATCCTTTCAACTCCTTGGTTGCAACGTTTCATACAATTACCGCTCTGACATTGGAAGAGCTGGCGGAGCTGCCTTCTTCCCATCAATTCCTCGACTGCACATCACACCAAAACCCAGCCTCAACTTCAAAATCCACCCACCCCAGCTTCGAATGAATCCCCACCCTGTTTCCCCTTCTCTTCACCTGCTCTCGAATGAATCCCCCAACCCCTTTGATTGACCATAACATTTACCTTAGTTTTTCTTTTCTAATTGATCTAATTACATTGAATTGATTGCCTTTGGTTCAACTCATCCAGCTCGCATTTTTTATACTATAGTGCAACGATGGAGTGTTTATTAGGCCAGCCCGCTCATTATATAATATATATGTGTCTAAGATAATGACTAATGAGTGATGATGACCAGTGACCACTAAACATAGTGGAAATAATGAAACAATAAACATGTAGAGGTTGTTTCTTTTGCTTGCTTTTGATAGAATTGGAGGCTTTCATTTTCTTGACCTAAATTGGAATATCGTTCACTATACGATCATTACCTTAGCTACAAGTTTAATATCAAATTTTGTTTACGAATTCACTTCTGTATGAAAATATCAATTAGTATACACAATGAAACACGCAAGAACAAGGATGGAGGATATAGAATAGAGCGGAATGTATGTGTAAATGACAAATGATTATATCACTCATTTAAGAACCAACACAATCTTCATGTGTTTGTGCAGAATAGGAAGGAGTTGCTGTCTTTTTATGGAAAAACTTCATTTAGATTTGTATGAGTACACAAAACAGCAGGTTAGTAGTAGCAAGTTTGTTTCTAAGATGGATACAGAGCTCATGAGTTGGCACATGATAATTGCTAGCCTAATTTTAACTTCCTATTCTGTTTGTTTTTAAAAATAATATTATAACAAGTACGTAATGAATTAGTAACTCACTATTCCGAATTCGGCCTACTTTTGTTTAGAGTTCTAAATGTCTTATGATTCATGGTGTTCAAGTCGATGTTGTTATACGCATGTCTGCAGTGATATCTTTGAAACACACACATTATTGAAGGCATGATATATTCAATATCAAATTTCGAGGTAGCATATGCGTCAGTACGTAACATAGCTACTATTTCCACTAGACGAATTTGCATCACTGAATAAAGTGTTCACGAAGATGGAGACACACCTGACATCCCTGGATCTAGCTTTCAGTTCATGACACCTTCTAATTTTCAGCGACTTAAGAGAATGATGAATATTTGTCGGGTTTGATTTATCAAATTAAGACAAAATGCCTTTTGTAACTCATTTAAGAAGACTAATACATATTTATCAAATCTCATTCCTACAGTTGTATGACTCACTTTCCTACATACTGGTCAGATTTAGTCGGCGAAGTTCATCATACATAACCAATATTTGAATCCCTCAAGGTGTTATTTACGTACGGAGTAAAAAAGTGCACCGCAAATTATTTCCTTTACTCTACTTGAAACTACGAAATCATATTCCATTAGATATGAATCTAACCATCTATATATTCACTTATTGTTTCTAATCCAGGGGACTAAATTAATTAATGATTTCATCTATATATTCACTTATTGTTCCTAACCAACCCCAACCAGACATGTTCTGCTTAATCACATCATTATAGACCGAAAAACTACATGTTGCACAACCTTGCTCCGCTGAAGACCTATACTCATTTCATCTATCTTACATGCATCTGGTACTCATTTCAAACCTCTCACTTTATCTTATTCATTCCCAATATCCTTCTCTGTCCTTATAACTTACAAGTTGTTCATAAGCAATTATACCCTTTTAAGTTATGCATCTATGATCCAACAAAATCACGTACTATACATATTTATGAGCGTATAAGTTCAGGTCCACATCATTTAAAACACTTAGTATTTGTTAAGACTAAATATGTATCAAACTTAGCTCACTTATTATGTTTGTGATGTTCGATATATTTTATAACGGTCTCAGTTGCACTGATAAAGATTAACAATTCTGTGACTCTTCCAGGGAAATTACCAGATCGGTAACGCTTCATCTCATATTTACGTGTAGTATGATCACCAAATATGATGTAGTTCATTGTCCAACTTAGTGTTGCCAATGACTCCGCCGGGTGTCCGGTCTCTTTTATATCAAGCAAATTTAGAGCTATTTGAAGTGTTCTCATCCAAAGAGAGATGAATATTAGGACAACCACTTCATCGACACACTCAAATCCATATGACAACAATCATTTAGTTTCATGTTGACACGTTACTATGTATGTAATATGGGGAGTAAATCACATGTACTTCTTACAGTATTTTACTGTACTTGACGTATTACTGGCATCTAAGGACCTTCATTCTATCATGGCATGTCAACTTTGAACATTTCCAAATATCTAATTCTACTTTACTACTTTGAACATTTCCAAATCTCTAATTCTACTTTAGTACAATTCTATATACCGATAAATTCTCTACAATTCCTATGTCATCAGTAAGTCACCTAACGGTCTATCGAACGTGTATGCAATCACGATAATAGAATCCTTAATACAAACATACAAAAAGCTAAATCTATCAAGATTTGTAAAATCGTAGTGGAAGTTATATCAGATAAGTCAATTATAGGTATTTTATGGTTTAACTGTTTCATATATACAAAATCATATACTGACTCGAAATTTTTGTAAAACGTTTTTCGGTCAAATCATATGTAGTTTAAAAAAAAAACCTATCCGGCCAACGGGCCGGACTCTATTCTAGGATATATATATATATGGCTGATCGTCATCATCATTTCGTCTCTGTGTTGTATATGCATGTCTGTGTTTTTTTGTATTCCTCTAACTTTTGGTTGGAAAAATAAATAAAACTGTTTGCGAGATCTATGGTGAATTTTTGTATGTTTTTGAAGATTTTGCCGCTGCTGCCATCGATTTTCCCTGGTGAAATAACTAATAAGAGTTGGGTTCTTCCATGGTTGTTTGGGGGGAGAGAAAGTAGAATCTGGGCCGAACTCAGATTCTTGGCGATATGAAACGGAAGGGGCGAGTTTGTCGGCGATGAGAAATGGAAGACGGAGAAGTGGGGAGGCGTGGTAGAGATGGAGAATAGGTCGGATTTGGTTCATGGGTCGGGTTGGGCATATGACATGGCGGGTTATAACGTGGCGGGTCGGATTTCACCATTTTCGTTCCAAAATGACGTTAATTAGGCGATTTCGTTAGTCATGTCAGCATATAACAGACTCCATTAATCGAGTTGGGCGGAGACTAACGGAGAGTGACTAAATGTGGACTGTTTCACTAATTCAAGTGACAAAAATTAATATTAAATTGATATTAAATTTTAGTAATTCTAATGACCAAATGTGACATTTATAAAAAAAATGAGTTTCACTTATGTTTTCTCATGTTTGTTGCACAATTTTAAGTACAAATACACTAAGTCAAACAATACTTCAAAAATACATGTCACATAGCTTCAAACAACTAACACAAATAACATAAATTTACAATACACTTTCTACCAAAAATAGTTATCGTAAGGAACGATATCAAACCCAATTACCATATATAGGACTTACAAAGCACATGTGAAGAAACAAACAACCAAGAGTGGTCTAAAAAGTCCTGACCTCGTGGTGTGAAGAGGTTGGATTTTTTTTCCAAAGTACACTAATACCTGGAAAAAATAATCCAATACGCTAGTTATATAAGAAATTCTCATTCTACACTTCTTTTTACTGGATCGCTTAAAACGAAAGCGATGTGCCACATGATCGCTTAGGTCGGAAGAGACGAAAGGAATAATGCCAAAGCTAGTAACCATGCATGTAGGTTGCTTGTCTACTAGATTCAGACCCGGCCCGTTGGACGGATGCACTTCGTAAATGGTATAATCAACAATAGCGATTCTTCTAAGCAAGATAGGCTCAACCAGCTAGTCGGATTCATTTTGTAAATTGAAAAAATAAAATTAGAAGCAAAAGTCAAGCATGATACATATTTATATGGTAGCATAAGAGCAGTGGCGGATACATGGATATTTAGGGGTGTTTCGGGACACTCCTAAAATTTGGAAGAACGATTACCCAACCCCCGACTGTAGTTTCGTATGGAAAAAATTATAATTGGTAACCGAGACACCCTTAAATTTGAAAAATATGATTATACTATCTCGATAGTAGTTTGTGTAAGATTAAAAAATTATAAATGATAGTTTGTGTTATTCAAACTTAGGACACTACTATTATTAAACATATTCTTTAGATTGCAACTCATTTCTTGTTCTATTTAAACACTAAGAAATAGTAAAAACATTATTGCTCATCCCCAACTATATTCAAAACCTAACAACTAAACTAATTGTGGGTTATCCTTAATTTGAATTGATTTTATAGTTACACAGCAAGAGTTAATAGAGTCTTTCAACTTTGAGATACATAAAGAACAAGGTTAGAATTCGAATATGAGATCAGTTCGTATATATTGTCTAGTATGATATATAAATTTGTTGAGCAGTGAAGACGTCGATTATATTTTATATTCTTTTTCAGAATATGAAAACACGTCGTGGCCTTTTGTTAAAATTTGTATTAGTTATGTATTTTCTTATTTATGAATTATTTATTTTATTTTTTTAACTCTATAAAAAAAATTCTGGATCCGCCACTGCATAAGAACTTCTAAATTATTTAGTAATTGGAAAAATTGCTATCGATAGTTGTTTGCTCGCGGATCTCCATGGGAAAACAAGTTGAGCTTATACTATTAGATGCACATTGAGCTTTAGGTCCTTGAAGGCACATGGGCCACAAAACATAAAACCGATTCATGGGGTGGGTGAAGCAAATTATTGAATATATTTTGAAGGAACATAAAATTTATCTTTTGCAGCTAGTAATGCTAATAAATAATTATGTGGTAGACTATGTTTAGAAATTCATTTTCTAATACATTTGAAGTGAAAGAATTTATCAATATCCATCTAAACTGAAAAATAATTACCAAACAACTCAAGAATGAAGAATGCTTAAAGTAAATCTATGGAATATAACTTACATGCACATGTTTTTCAAAAAAAAAAAAAAATTAGAAAATCTCATTCAACAATGATTTAGCTGTAGCTTAAACTCTTGTGTTGACATAAACTCTATTGGGATATTTCCTACAATTAGTTTTTATCAAATCAACAATGATTTGATCTAGATATCCTCTCTATCCACAAATCATCATAGCATGCTCGAAGATTTTTGACATATATCAAGAACTACATGTATGTGATGAAGTCAAAATCATATTGTTTCCACTCAAACTGATTCGAATCACCTCTGAAGTAAAAATCCAAAAGACAATTAGTAGTAATGTTGTCGCTGCTATGTTGATTGCTTTTAATCCAATCTTAATGCTCAACCACAACCAAAGCATATGCATTAACAACCATAGTGTCATTCAATTTAGCCTTTGCATGTCGAAATATTTGTACTAAGATATTACTAAAGCCTAACATATAATACAACTGTTGAATAATTGAATTGTGCAAAGGATTTGGAAATGGATCTCTATAGGAAAAAACATAATCATTTTTGGCCTTCATTATTAGTGTCATGAATGTAGAGCACATTTTGCTTGTAATATAACATTTAAAACCTATGGATGATGCTCTCGAAGCACGAGATTCACTTTGCTTGTTCTGCAACATAACATAAACTTGATCTGATTGGTTTTTCATCTGTGTTTAGTACTTTCATCCTTCCACCTAATTGCTATACAATATTCACATTTATACGATGGATGTCTAGTATCAAACACTTTAACAAATACAATACCTCAAATATGATAAATACCTCAAATATGATAAATACAATATGATAAATACAATACCTAAATGAAAGTTTTCATTGTTGAAACCAGGGACCACATCCATGAAATAGCTATGTAATGGTGCCACCTCACTATGAAATAGGCTTTGTAAAGATCTGGAAACCTTCAAATTCTCTAAAGCACATCACCTAAATACGATTATGATCACTTCTGGCAAGTTCGATGGATTTTAGCAATACAGTTCCCTTGGTGTGCAAGTTATGCATATCATTTTGGAGTCCTATGTAGGAATTCTCAAAATAAGAAATCTTAACAACCAACACATGATAATATATAGATTGAAAAGAAACATGAAATTCATTGATTGTCATTAGGAATGTTGATAATTCCCTATATATATTTGTATCTTATGTAAAGAGCATGTTTCTTTCTTGCTAATCTTGTCAATGGTTGATTGATTCTCTTTCACTATGATTTGTGCAAATGTAAGATAGAGAGCAACAATTTCGTAGTCTAATAAAAAAATGTTGTTTGGATAATTGTTTGGATAATTCTTAGGCGTAAAGCGATAAAGGAGCATATCGATTAGACATATCGTTGTCGGAAAACCTCATTAGGAACTCAGTACGTAGTAGACTTAGTAGCTCGTTGAATTTAGTGAGTTGGCTCGTTTTGATCTAATGAATTGGCTAGCGACTAATGAGAATATATATATATATATAACTTATGGTGTGTCTTCTTAATTATTTATATATTTGTTAGATTATATATCTCATGATATAATGATTTAAGACTTTGTGTACGTAATCAAATATGTCAAATTTATTTTCTGAAAGAAAAATTATATATTATAGAATGCTTAGTTAACAATAACAATTGAAAAATATTATATGAATTAGTTAAAAATTATGAACTTATTATATTACACCAACATAGCATATAAGCATGAGATCAATTAGTGATGAAAAATTGACTATAGTTCTTTTTTCATTAACCACATGTATCATATATGACATACAAATATTACGGTATTCAAGTTATAAATTATTATAGAGTTTAATTTAAGGGTATAACCATTTAGGCTTATAAATGAGTTTAGGTCATAAGCTGATTGATGAGGCGAGCTACTTAATGAGCCAAGCTCAAACTCGGCTTATTTCTTAACGAGCCAAGCTCATGTTTGGGCAAAACTTGGTTTAGCTTGGCTCATTATGAAACAAGTTGAGCTCAAGTTTAACAAATCTCGTATCGACTCGACTCATTTGCAAACCTAGTAGCTACCTATATTAGCCACTGCCCGACAGGTCAGCAACAAAACACGCCCACCTACTATCATGTCCACTTGGTTAGAATTTCAAACCTAGCCAAAATATAATTCGACTCGGTCAAATCAAACTAAATTATTTTTCAATTTGAGTTCGATTGTGTGTTTTGCTGAAACAAAAGACCCAATATACTCTTTTTCAGGGTTCAACCAACCCGAATTTATGTCTGCCCGTTGAAAGGGCTCAAACAAATTACAAGTACATTGCACCAAAGAGACCTAAATCTATCAACTCCCCTGCTCGTTAGACCATCCATATCCATGAAAATACAATTTTTATTTCATATGTGGCCTCTATTGCCACCTCAACAACTTTTACAATTTCACTCCATACCTATTTTATTTCCTCTACATCAATAACATTCCACTTTCTATTTCATATGGTGGACCCAATTAATATTTTGGGTTAATCTTTAATCTTAACTAAATGTTCCAACCATAAAAAAGTAGAAAGAAAAAATTTGTTGGCAAAAGTGGATACGGACCCGCTAGTTTACCCCACCATCTATTTCATTTCCTATTTCACTAAATGGAGCGATCGATTACGATTAGCATGATAACCCTTCTAATGGGTTGGAAAAATGACACTCCTATTAATTATAGTTATTTTTTGTATTAAATTCGTGTTGCATTTAATAATTTTTGGAAATTAAAAACTCATCTTAATTATATTCCTTTTTTTAACTACAATTGCACTGATACTATGGTGGGCAATGAGCTGGTTGGGTGGGTTTTGGTCTCAAATTGATCCACCCACTTACTAGCGAGTTGGAATAATTGTGACCCGCAATCCACCCACATACTTCTGCGGATTGGGTTGGGTGGGTGGCAGATGGGTGCGGTCGGATTGTGGGTCAACCCGCAAAAGCAATTCTCCAACTAGCCATTAAGAAAGTTGACTAACATTTCTAATAAGTCCATAGCAAATTAGTAAGATTGTATCAATAATTTGTGATTTTGATAAGAAAGTTGACTAGCATTTCTAAAACTACCATTGCACCTGTATATTGAACTCAATTAATTACGTTCCTTTTTTGGAACTATCATTGCACTGATACATCTACCATTGCACCTGTACACTAATACCATTGCACTGATACAACTACCAGTGCACTGAAAAAAGAAAATTAATTAATATGTATTTTTAATTCATACAAATTATTAAATGCAATACAAATTAATTACCTTAAAAACCTATAATTAATAGGAAGTGTCATTTTTCCAACCCTTTCAGGGTAGACATTCTATCTCATCCCTAAATGAAAGTTTTCATTGTTGAAACCAGGGACCACATCCATGAAATAGCTATGTAATGGTGCCACCTCACTATGAAATAGGCTTTGAAAGCCGTTGTGGATGGTTTACCATAAATCTCTTCTCCTCTTTTTCTTGTCTTTTTGACTGGCCTCATAAGCACTTTCAATGAAGCTAGAGGAACCCAGTTTTATGTCACGTCACATTTTGCACATGACACATTAAACTATTAATTAATTTCGGAAACTACTCCACAACTCAGCAACAATACCCAAAAACTGTTTAAATTTGATTATTTAATCAATGTTCAGACATAAGATAGAGACTTTGAAACAAGGTTCTCAATCCGGTTGAACCCGTTGTTTTGATCGAGTAAGTGGATGTTAATAGTTAGTCTGATTGGTTTAGTCTGATTTAGTCCATACACATGAAGAAAAAAAAATATATTGTTCATACATATATATACTATATTAAATTTCATTTAACAAAAACATTACAACAAAATAATAATTTGTACTTGAATCCAACATATAGCAAAAATTCAGCAACACTTAATTCCACCATATTGATTCATAATTAACACATTGAATAGAATAAAACAACTCGATCTATCTCAATAAAAATAAACCAGCTCGAACCAACCCAATTACCCGAATATGAGGTGTCTATTTTTTCTCTGCAAATCAGGGTTAACCTGTAGGTCAGACCCCGAGTTAACAACCTTGCTTTGAAATGTCGCAATCCAACACCCGCCACCTACCATTTCATCGGCACCATTCCGTTTCTCCTCATATTGTTAAATTAATTAATTGATTAATTAATACGAACGAGGCCGGTGGGGGGAAAAAATGAAGCCGAGTTTCGATCACAATCGCCTCTCGGGTCCTTAAATAGGTCGTCTCCTTCACCAGTCACTACCCAATCAACACCCACAGATCTACCTAATCATCACCACTGCAAGTCTGCAATTCGACCAGTGAGCAGCGCAGTGAGCAGCGCTAGCAAAGACCCAAGAATAATGGGATCCAAGCGCATCGTCCTCAACTCCAACAACCTCTACCTCCTCCCATGGAGCGACAAAACCGTCGGCGTGGTGGACCCAGGCCTGGATCTCAACACCCACAATGTCCCCCGCAACATGGACCAGTGGCGGCAGCTGGGCCTGGTCGGCAACAACGCCAGATCTACTCATCGGGAGCTCGAAATCTTCGGCGTCGTCATCTCCGGGAAGAAGCTGGAAGACCTCTCCACCGACCTAATCAACCACCAGTGCGTTGCCAATCGGGAGGGGTTCATGATCATGTACTTCAACATCGGCGCCGGCAACATGTACCTCAAGAACCAGTCCAGCGTCATCCGCCGCCTCAACGACGTCTTCGACTGGTCCAAGTACGGCGTCACCGTCCCCATCCCCGTCGCGACGGTGTGGGACCGCTTCGAAGTGAACACCGGGAAGCTGATTGTGGACAGTAAGGGAGCTGGGAAGAAGGTATGTACTGTAATGCTGAATTGAATTGAATCCAGGGGCCGAGCATTCATTTTGAAATTATGTTTCATAGGTGGAGGAGCTGAGTAAGCTGATTGAGGAGAAAGAGAGGGAGAATCAGAAGCTGAAGGAGGATAGGGATAAGGAAGACGATGAGAGTATTTCGCTGGCGGAGCTGTTGAAGGAGAAGGATGAACTGATTCAGCAGCAGAACAAGGATCTGGAAGAGAGGGATAATGAGCTGGATGCGGTCAAGAATGTTGTGAAGCAGAAGGAGAAGGAGATTTCCGACTTGAAGTCGAATGGTGGGGGTTCGTCGGCGGCGGAGTTGCAGAAGCTGAAGGATGAGTTGGCTGCTAAAGATAGGCAGATTAGTGCTCTCAAGGCCGCCATGAAAGCCTTGGTCGCGTAATAATTGAATACATCTCGTTCATCTCTGTTTTCGGGACGGGCGGAAATCAAATAAAAGATGATAATGAAAAATAAATCCCCTTGAGATTTACTGCAGATTTGGCTCGTCTTCTTTGTCTTATTGTGGGCAGTTGAGAATTAATTGATGTTATGATTGCATAATAATAATTCATGGCGATAAGATAAAGTTTGATATCTACGTTCTTTATTTATTGTACTACCACTAAGAAAGGATCTTTGTCAGAAGTGGATTATTGACAAAAATGGTTTGAAAATTTCCATAAGAAAGGAATTGAGAAAATGGACCAAAAAGCTTGGTAGTTCACGGTTGATTGTTGGATCTATACGGGGAGAATTACAAAAATATGGTAAATTTATAACAATTGCCATCAATGTGTGTGTTTTGAAACATGCGTACACAAATATTGAGCTCCAAAAATAAGACGAGGTTGTGTGAGCTGAGCTAAATTTTCTAAAATTTCACTCAGTATGCATAAGGCGCACGAGTTTAACTAAACTTTGCATGTTTCGAATGAGATTTTCATCCGAGAAGTGAATTAGGACGGAAAAGAGGATAGGGGAGAGAGGAGGATACGAGAAATAGCAGGGTGTCAAAGACAATGATGATAACACGCTTAAGAGGTCATCATGATAACCATGCTCACCATATCATGACAGCGGTGAGCACAGTGGCCCAAGTACGTACCTTAATGCTCGATGCTTGAGTGCCTTGTATGGCATCATGTCAAGACACTGAGGTACATTACATGATAGTATGAGTAGTTCAAAAGTCTATCACTTAGACCCAATTTAAATCAATTTAATTGATATGTTTAAATCAGCATTAATTATATACCACAATCACTCCTTAAAATTAATCATATTAAATTGTTTTTAGTGGTAGCACTAAGAACTTACACACGTCTAGTTCACTGTTGACCCTAGAAACAAATCAACAAACCTACTTGCTATTATAACCGGTTGGGTTGATGGTTCTTTTTGTCCGACCGAGCAATCCGGTCAGTCACGGTCAGGTTATAGGAGAAAAAGTAAAGGGCATGTAAGCGGAATTTGGATTCAAAATCAGTTACAGGCCGGCCATAATTATCTGAACAGCCCAAATAAAAGAAGCAGCAGGCTATATTTGTGAACTAGTTTTATGAGCCCACACTCTCTTGTCTGTGGGTTTCAGGCCCATATGTGGGTGACTTGTTATTTGGACCGAGTTGACTCAGAGCAGATGTACGGTTATCAAGTCCAAACGTATCCTTGGGTTTGGTTTAGTTGAATGATGGTAGTCGTTTTGGTGAACAAATTTGCTTTCTTGATTCTCATTCTTAATGTGCATGATCTTAATTCTTAAGAAAGCCACATAAAAAATGTTCTCTTATTATAACCAATTTCAGCTATTTTTTGTTCACTCATGATGGATAACTAGATTAAGGTGAAAATACTCGTAAGAATTCCAAAAAAAAGGTATTGCTCATGGATGATTTTCTTTTTATAAGCCGATTGAACTCAATATATGCGTGTACAAAAATATAGCTCAACACATGAATTATTTTATGAAAAATATTGTAACATGTGAAGGTCTTTGTTAAACGTGAGACGATAAACAAGCATCTTTTTAAAGTATAACAACAACAAAAATGTGTACTAAACTTTGCAAAATGATCTACAATATAAATATAATAATAATAATAATCCTTATTCATTAAATTATCTTATGTGAATAAACAAAGTAAAAGAAACGAATCGGCATGCTACTACAACTCGGAGTTAAGGGATCAAAATAAATAAATAAATAAATAAATAAGACACCTATTATAAATATTATATATTCTCCTATTAATGTTACTATAAATAGATATAGAGACGCATAACATAGTAAGTATGTCATCCATCACTCTGTGGGTAGCCCCAAGCTTGCCGCTAGCCAGTTCCTGACATCTTCCATCTCCCTCGGGATCGTGTAGTGCCCAATCCTGCAAATCAGATTCAACGCCCAAATTTCAAGAGATATATATTATGACAATATATATGGTATAGTCCAAATTAAACGCAAAATTAATTATACCCGTCGTAACGTTTAAAATTGAGACGCCCAAATCCAGCTGCAGATAGGACACGTGCAGACCTCTCTCCATGACTGTAAGGGATCTGGTCGTCACCTGCAAAATAAACCAAGTGACTGATGAGTAATGAAGAAGAAAGAGAAATATATAATATCGATAATGCATGTTAGTGATGATGGGATGCAGTAGTAGTACACGTACTCGTCCCGTGGGTGATGAGAATTGGGAGGTACGCAGCCCGGCGTGCAGCTTCTTGGGATGACTGTACTCTGTTGCCCAAGCTCCTGGATGATATTCCGGTGGGAAGCCAGCCGCTGAGGCTGACGACGGCCTTGAGGAGGTTGATGTTGTAGGGAATGTTTCCGTTTCCGTATCGGCCCAGGACTGCGCAAGTTGCAGAGTAAAGTGCGGTCGCTCCGCCCATGCTGAACCCTCCGATTCCAACTTTCACTGTTCAAATATGTTTGTTTGGAATTGGGGGAATGAAAAGGCGTATGTAGCTTTTTTTTTTTTTTTTGTGTGTGCAAGTAAGTAGTAATAATAGGTATACGTACCATCAGCAGGCTCACTGGACAACAAGTTGGCGATATGGGCGGCTGAAGAATCTAAGCCTTCCATGTCTTCCACCGTATCTTCCGACATCTCCCCGACATCGAACCCTTTTCATTTGAGATCGACAACAAAAATTAGAGACGACGTAACTGTCTATACATGCAGTACTGCATCTGCATGCATCACGTACGTAAAGATAATTAATCTATAGAATATATGGGAAGGAAGAGGTTTTTTTGTATTGTATCTTACATGCAGTGCAGCGAAACCCTCCCAGCATTCCTACAGGGCGAACTGGAGCAGTTGGACATATCCATTTGATCTGCAAACAAAGCCAGAAAGTTATATATATATATTTGGTTCATTGAAAATTAAATAGAAAGAATTCACCAACATATTCATTATTAATTAAGTTACGCCTTTAATTTGTGCTTACATTGGGTAGAGGAAGTGCGTCCAGGACCTGTGTCCAGCTGTGCCAGAGAAACAAAACAAAACAAACAAAGGTCAAATTAAAGCAAGTTAAATTAAGATTTGGTACTAGCTAGCTTCTAATTAAGCACCATTAACTAACTAAGATTCTATTTCGTGTTCGGAGTATGCATGTATTAGGTAATAATTAAGTAAGGTATAGAACATCCAATTGATTAATCACGTACCTAGCGCCATTGTCACCCATGCCATGCAACCAAACAATGGTAACCTGATGCTTCCCTCTCGGCCTCACAACATGGGTCCTTCCAAAATCACTCATTCTTGATCTACCACTCGTACTCCCTGTATCAAAAAAGAAAATTCAACACTAGCTAGTGTTAGATGGAACATAATCATGAAGAAGAAGAAGATATTAAGTAGTTGATTGATTGATCAGAGGGTTTTAGAGTAAAATATGTATAGAACAAACCAGAAGGCATATGAAAGTGCTGCTGGTAGCTCATTAATTAGTTGTAGCCGGAACCAGTGATCTAGCTAGCAGTAATACGCAAATACTGCTGCAATTAATCTCCTTACGATTAACACTTAGCCAAGAATGAATTGATGAGTAGTAGTATATTTTCCTGATGAATGAACGGGTAGTGTGGTATTTATAGTGCGAGAAAGAGAACGGACATATCAAAACCAAGGAAATAAAATAATATGGGAATTGCATTGCAGCTCATATCTCATATTCATCAACTAGGTAGTGTAATTAATTCGATTATTATATGTATAGATGTGAACATGCAGAAACCAACAGCGTCAAGGCATATATACTGGCGATCATCCTTTAAAGGTGGAAAAAAAAAAGGGCGCGTTCGAAACTGGTAAAGGAATCTCCGAGAGAGAGAGAGGCACTAGAAAAGGCGGGAGCTCTTTTTGGCAGAAGGAAGGAATCGAGACAGAAATGATGTTTACTATAGAAGGAGAGCACAATCACCCATTTTTAAGCTGTCCAGATAGGACGGAGAATCGATGCTTTCGCTTGGCTTGGCAGACACCATGCACCAAGATGCAAGATATAAAGCGGAAGAGATGAGGAAAGAAAAGAAACGCGCATATACAAAGGCAGGCGAGCTTGCTTTGCTTGCTTATTATTTAACAACTGTCTACATGGACGGACAGGCTGCAGCTCTAGGCTAAGTTAGGTTAGGTTGCTATAAGTCTCCACTACAGAGAGGTGAGGTTCCATTTCCATACGTAGCTTTCGGGATATGATCATCAGTGAAAGCAACCAAAAGGAATAATATGCAGAAAGGGGAAAACAAAGCAAACTATGAAATGGAAAAAAGCTTATTTCTCGTGTGATTGATGTGTAATATATTATATTATATTATACCCCAAATCCCCAATACTGCCTGCAAAGTTGTTCCTCTTTTTTTTTTTTTTTTTTTTTTTTTCTTGTTAACATATTGCTTTGCTTCTTGGCCGTTGGGTGCTGTGCTATCGTGGGATTCTTAGTACGGGCTCCGTTACTATGCTCATTATCATCGGGGGGTTTTTTTTTTCAGAAAATTTTTGTTAGCTCTTTTATGCCTAATTTAACGAGTTATTTTGGTTTTTTACTAGCAGTTTTAACTATAACCTCAATTCTATTTATTGGTCTGAGCAAGATCTGACTTATTTGAAATTAATTGAATGAACAATTCAAAAAAAATTATGCAATATTCGATCTATTTTGAGTTCTTTACCATGTAAACTTACAATTTGTGTTATTGAGATTTTTGGGCAACATGGATTCATATTTAAGGAAAGATATTACCTCTCTTTTTTCTCTTTTTTTTTTTTAAAAAAATTGAAATGATTGAAGTTTTTCTATTTGGAATAATGTTATGGTATAAACTTAGTTTGTATCTATATATTTTTGTACAGATTTTTTTACTATCCAAACTGAATATATATTCAGTTTGTAGCTTTATCTTTTTATACTAAAATCTTTATGATACAAATTGAATTTTTATCCGAAATCATCGGTGCTTATGACTATGAGCATTGTATAATTCATTTTCTTAGTACACTGCCCGTTAATGGTGTAGTTTCGAGTATGGATGTAAGATATGTATTATGGTTATTATAAATTATTATGAAAAATATATGAGCGTCAATAGATGATTTTTTTTTAATATTATTCAAAATAAATCTAAATGTTTACTTTTAGGTTCACAAATTATTTTTAAAATATTTATATATCCTCTATCAAGCGCTTAGAAAATATAGTGATGGTGGACACCAATTCCAGACTGTAAGCCTGAATTTAAATGCTAACAAGATATTGTCGGGGTACTACAGGGGCCGGGGTTTACCGTCGTAAGGCAACTTTCCCTCATATATACATATAATATAGAGATGTTAAAAGAGAGTTTCATTTTCTGCAAATTTGGTTTTGTGAACCGGGAAGGACGATGGCCATGCATTTTTGCCTTGTTAGCTATCGGGGATTTCTAGTATGAGCTCGTTTTATCATACGTATTATGGTTATATTGTAATTAAACAATATTATAATTGGTAACATAGAGTTTGTGAAGCTATATTTAACATTTATAACCATTTACAAAAAACATAGGGATATAATCTACTTATGTGTGCATCCGAAAATCACGGTTTATCATAGATGAACCAAACCTACCTTTACTGATGCATTTCCTTCTCGTCATAGTGCTAGTGGTATTTGAGGTATGCCGAATTCAATTTTAATACTCCTATATTTTTAGGGAGAAAATCTGTTAGTGACCTATATGCTTGAATTCTCAGCTTCAATGACTTAATTTAGCGATATTCATATCGTACATGGCCAGTATCGAACATGATTGGTTAAGTGAGGCACTATAGCTAGTTAAGTAAAATGAGTTTGTTGCAAATCCATTGAAAATAAAAACAGCAACTCGATAATATTAGCAACCCATCTTAATTAACCCTTACCAAGCTGTCATTTGGCCATTGTATTTGTGGTTGTGTTTCCCGAGAAAAACCAAATGCCACCGCCGGTGCCGAATTCGTTTCCGGCGATGTTGATTTGATGTTTCACGGTGGAAATTCTTGCGGTGCCGTTTGATCGAATGCACCGGTGATTGCTGAATCGAGACGATCGTCAAATATCCGCCGCCGAATGTCAGCGCCGTTGATTTGATCGATGCACCTTTGAATGGTGAAATCAATGTGACCGTCAAATATCCACCACCGCTGGGCGGTGTTGATTTGATCGATGCACCTCTGACTTCTAACCAACGCGACCGTTACTACGGTTCGCACCTCTCCAAACTACGTTCGAACGAGGGTGTTTGAGTTTTTTGAGGAATCTACACTACGCTACTCCTATGGAGATTCCTCTGGAGAGCTCCGCGACTACGACTAAGACTACAACTATGGAGATCCTTCCTGGAAGGAGAGCTCCGCGAAGGAGTTACAGAGAAAAGGTAAAGTTTTGACAGAGTTGTTCTGTGTCGATTTTTGGTTCTCCCTTCTCTCTCCTTGCTCTGTTGCTTTTATTCGAAAGCATCTTCGTAGTCTTCACGCAACTCCGTGAAACCGCTTCCTCAATTGCTCCGTTGTGAACTCCCACGTGTCTCAACCCTCTTGATCTCCTCCTCGCTCTGGTTGGCGTGAATCTCACGCTATGTCGTTTTATTCCTCAAACAGCTCTGTCTACTTTTTTTTTTTCGTCCGCGACATTGTTTTATATTAAACACTGTCGTTTTATACTCCGCGGTGTTGTTTTCTCTTGCGGCGTCGTTTTCAGCCAAACAACACCGTCTAAAATAATTATTAAAAAGATTAATTCATTAAACCTGCTCATTATTGTATTCTCATCCCTCGATACCGTTTAATCTTTCCGCGGCACCGCTTTTCACAAATCGATGCCGACCTTGAACCGCTCCGTCCCGGTCCCATCAAACAATGTCGTTTTTCATTCCGCGACATTGTTCTCTATCAAACGGTATCGTTTTTCTCGTCTTGCAGTGCCGTTGGGCTTGCTCGCGGTATCGTTTCCTTCCCCAAAACGGCTTCGTTTGCTTTTCCTTTCGCGACATTGTTTAAATATTTTAAACATTGTCGTTTGCTAGCACAACGGTACCGTTTTTGTAAATTCGCGGTATCGTTTTACTTTTCCGCGATGCCGCTTGTTTCCACGCGGTATCGCTTCTCCCCTTCCGACAAGGAATAGATAAAAAAACTCATTTTCCAACACCAACACTAACCGTGCGGCCCACCTCTTGTTCTATGGCAAACAGTGTCGTTTTCAGTGCCGCGGTACCGTTGAGCTTCCTTGCGGTACCGTTTTTCTTTTTCGCGGTATCGTTTTAACTCTCCGCGACACCGCTCGTCTCCAAACGACACCGTTTTTTACCTGCGGTATCGGATTAAATGCCGAGACTAATTAATGCGGCATTTAATTCCGGCCAAATTAATTTTAGGTCAACAAATGCCCCCCACAACTTGGTTTATAAAAATTTATGAACCAAATTGTTGACACAACTTAAATCACCTAAAATTAACTATCACCATTACCATCTTGATGAAAAATTTATTGGCCGTATTTGGCTAAACGAGCCAACTAGCATGCAATGCATTATGCTGCTACGCCTCTTAATTTTCATGCAATATTAAAACAAGCGGGGCTTACCTTTACTGAAATGGACAAGCCATGAGAAAATTTTCATACGTCTCTCCTCGCCAACTTGCTCCCCGCACATCAAGGCAAGCCAAACACAAGCACACGGTTGTACAATCTGTGTTAAAGAAATACAAAAAGAGAAGAACATAACACAGAAAATATCAACCCAAAACATCAGCAACACTTGAATCAGATCCAGAAGACACCGAAAGCTCCCTTGCAAACAAACCAATCAGAGAGCACCAAGCATAATCAGCTCGTTCGTCCGACCGAGTCCATGACAATTGAATACAACGCCAAATGCCGCCTCCTGGGAGTCGCTCGAAGACGCTCAACACAGTGAATCTCTTGTGAGCGATTACATGGCGGTGGAAAGGGTAGAGGATCGAAATGCTCCGAGCTGAAAATGCAGAGGAAGACGAGGCACCAAGAACTTGGTCAAGGGAGAAGAGGAACCCAAACTCCAAAATCCAAGGTCTGAAACCGCAGTCAGAAGGGCCAGACATCGCCTTCCTTCCACCGACGCCGACCAAGAGGCAGATGACTACCAACAGGGGGAACGGAGGGGAAAACAATGAATCGATTCACCATGCATGATGTTGAACCCACCATCCAAAGAGGAGACCTCTAGATGCATAACCCAACTCCAAGGAGAGCAAATCCAGAAAAAACCCTAGAACAGGGCAACGAAAGGCCATAAAGGCAGGAGAAGCTAGAAAGCTGGAAAATCCGAATGAAAAAGGCCAACCAGTGGCAAGGAAGCATTAAAAAGCAAGGAAGCTGAAAGAAAAATAGGCTACCGCCGGTCACCAAGAGGTGCCGGCGGCAACCCCTGCAAAACCCACGCAG